GCAGAGAAGACCTCCATTTGCAAGACATACAGAAACATGAGAGACTCATGGAAATTTATTTCCTAACATTGAGTAAGCAGACATTATGACTGCTTATTGGGTGCTTGTATGTGTCAGATCCAGTGCTAAGAATTTTATCTGCATCATCTCCTCTATTCCTCTCAAACAGCATATGAGAAAATATTAACAAACTCATGAAAAAATATTTTTATAAATTAAGATGTTTAGCACATAAATAATAACAACAATGGTGAATCCAAAAATACACAGAAACCATTAGGAGGTCTCAGAGAGGAGCTGTATCTATTAGCTGAATACCATCTGGACTTACTTCATCTGCTATTCCTGCTTTTCTTCCTACACTTCTCTGGCCCACTTGGTAGATTATGGATGCCCCAACTCCTGCACTCACTTGATACAGTTCCAGCCAGCTTCAGAGGATGATTAAGAATCCCTGAATCTAATTGCCAGTTCCATCAAAAAGAACACTATTGGCCCAATTTTGATAATCAACACTGTGTACGTGTGTCAGGGAGAGAGCTTTATGATAATATAAATAATAAGTAATGTATATTAATTCATAAAGGGATCTACTTTTTTTCATAATAATTACTTAATTTATGTAAAATATTGTGGTACCACTTACTGGTCTGTATCTTCCAGTAGCCTGTGAGCTCCTCCAGAGCAGGGATCTTATCATTTAACAGAATTATAAACATGTATATAATTATAGCTATAATCATAATGTATATAATTATAATTATAATCATGTATATAAGAATTATACAGAATTATAATTATGTATATACATGTATAAGTATTTTCCTGTCTCTAAGACTATTTTTAAAAATACTTAATTCTTGCATAATATTCTAAATTGGGACACTTCTGCAAGTTATTTAATCACTTTTGAATATTTAGACTATTTTCAATTTTTCACTGCTATAAATAACATTGCAATAGCCATCCTTTTCAAAAATCTTAGCTACAGATGTGATTATTTCCTTTGGATAGCTTCTTAAACTGAAACTCTAGGCCAGGCACAGTGGCTCATGCCTGTAATCCCAGCACTTTGGGAGGCTGAGACGGGAGAATCACCTGAGGTTGGGAGTTCACAACCAGCCTGGCCAACATGGTGAAACTCTGTCTCTACTAAAAATACAAAAATTAGCCAGGCTTGGTGGCATGCACCTGTAATCCCAGCTACTCGGGAGGCTGAGGCAGGAGAATAGCTTGAACCCAGGAGGTGGAGGTTGCAGTGAGCCGAGATGGTGCCATTGCACTCCAGCCTGGGTGATAGAGCAAGACTCCATCTCAAAAAAAAAAAAAAAGAAAAAAGAAAAAAAGTGAAACTCTGGCTATTCACTTTTGGGGGTTTCATTTATATTACTGAATTGCTATAGGCCAAAACTGGAAGCACATTCCCCTTGAGAACTGGAACAAGGAAAGGATGCCCATTTTCACCGCTCTTATTCAACATTGTACTTACAGGGCAATCAGGCAAGAGAAAAAAATGAAGATATTCAAGTAGGAAGAGAGAAAGGTAAACTAATTATCTTTGCCAACAATATGATTCTATACCTAGAAAACCCTAAAGACTCTCCCAAAGGTCCCTGGAACTGATAAACAAATTCAGTAAAGTTTTAGGATACAAAATCAATGTATAAAAAATCAGTAGCATTTTTATACACCAATAATGTTCTAGCTGATAACCAAATCAAGAACACAATCCCATTTACAGTAGGTACAAAGAAAATGGAATATCCAGGATCATCTAACCAAGGAGGTGAAAGATCTCTGCAAGGAGAACTACAAAACACTACTGAAAGAAATCACAGATAACACAAATAAATGGAGAAATATTCCATGCTCATGGGTTGGAAGAATCTATAAAGTTACAATGGCCATACTATCCAAAGCAATTTACAGATTCAACACGATCCTTATCAAAATACCAACATTGTTTTTAACAGACTAGAAAAAAACTATTCTAAAATTCATTTGTAACCAAAAAAGCCCGAATAGTCAAAGCAATCTTAAGCAAAAAGAACAAAGCCAGACTTCAAACAATACTATAAGACTAAAGTAATCGAAACAGCATGGTAGCGGTACAAAAGCAGACACACAGACCAGTGGAACAGATAGAGAACCCAGAAATAAAGCCACACACCTAAAACCATCTGGTCTGTGACAAAATCAACAAAAATAAGTAACAGAGAAAGCATTCCCTATTCAATAAATGGTGTTGGGATAACTGGCTAGTCATATGCAGAAGACTAAAACTGGACTCTTACCTCTCACAATATACAAAAATTAACTCAAGCTGGATTAAAGATGTAAAAGTTACACCTCAAACTATAAAAATCCTAGGGGAAAAAAAAAAAAAACCCTGGGAAATACCCTTCTGAACATAGGCTTTTGCAAAGATTTTATGGCTAAGTCCCCAAAAGCAATTACAACAAAAATAAAAATTAACAAGTGGGACCTATTAAACTAAAGAGCTTCTGCACAGCAAAAGAAATTACCAACAGAGTAATAGCCTATAGAATGGGAGAAAATATTTGCAAAGCATGCATCTGATAAAGGTCTAACATCCAGAATCTATAAGGAACTTAAATCAAGAAGTAAAAAACAATCCAATTAAAAAATGGACAAAGGACATAAACAGACACTTCTCAAAAGACATACAAATAGCCAACAAACATAGGAAACAATGTTCAACATGACTAAACATTAGAGATTTGAATCAAAACCACAATGAGATGGCAACTCACACCCATCAGAATGGCAATTGTTAAGAAAGAAAAAGCCCTCATATTGGCTAGCCTGTGAAGAAAAGGGAAGGCTTATACTCTATTGATAGCAATGCAAACTAGTTTAGCACTATGGAAAGCAGTTGGGAGATTTCTCAAAGAACTTAAAATAGAACCACCATTCAACCCAGCAACCCCACTAATGGGTATGTGCCCAAAGGAAAATAATTCATTCCATCAAAAAGAAACAGAGCTGGGCATGAGGCTCATGCCTGTAACTCCAGCACTTTGGGAGGCCTAAGCAGGTGGATAGCTTGAGCCCAGGAGTTCTGGACCAGCCTGGGCAACATGCCAAGACCCCATATCTACAAAACATACAAAAATTAGCCAGTTGTGGTAGTGCACACCTGTAGTCAGAGCTACCTAGGAGGCTGAGGCAGAAGGATCAATTAAGCCCAGGAAGCTGAGGCTGCAGGGAGCCATGCACCACAGCACTCCAGCCTGGGTGACAGAGCAAAATCCTGTCTCAGGACAAAAAAAAAAAAAGACACATGCAACAGTATGTTCATTGTAGTGCCATTCATGATAGCAAGGATATGAAGTCAACCTAAGTGCCCATCAACAGTGGACTGGGTAAAGAAAATGTGGTACATATACACACATATACACCATGGAATACTATGCAATCATAAAAATAAGAAAATTATGCTTTTTGCAGCAACATAGATGGAGCTAGAGGCCATTATCCTAGCAACCTAACGCAAGAACAGAAAACCAAATACACATGTTGTCACTTATAAGTAGAGGCTAAACATTGAATATATGATGGTAAAGATGGGAACAATAAACACTGCAGATCATTAGATGGGGAAAGGGGGAAGGGGACAGAGGGCTATGGGCTGAAGAAGCACCTGTTGAGTACTATGCTTACATCCTGCTGGGACCATTGGGATCCCCCAAGCCTAAGATTTTGCTTTTTGTTTCTTCAGACTGGTGAGATTAAACTTCTTTCTCAATGGCGGTGGTGAGACAGAATTTCGCTCTCGTTGCCCAGGCTGGAGTGCAATGGCCTGATCTCAGCTCTCTGCAACCTTCACCTCTTGGGTTCAAGCGATTCTCCTGACTCAGCCTCCTGAGTAGCTGGAATTATAGGCATGTGCCACCACACCCAGCTAATTTTGTATTTTTAGTAGAGAAAGAGGTTCTCCATGTTGGTCAGGCTGGTCTCAAACTCCCGACCTTAGGTGATCCGCTTGCCTCAGCCTCCCGAAGTGCTGGGATTACAGGCATGAGCCACCGTGCCCTGCCTTCCAATGTTTTAAATAGCAATTTATATTTCTTCTTCATGAATTGTCTGTTAAACCCCTTGTTGGAGGGACTCAAGTTTTGTTTTCAATGTGCCTCAGAGCTTAGAAATGGTGTTGGTGACTTAGCTGACTCACAAAGTTTTGAATACATATAGACAGAAACCTAGCCAGAATAAGCCACTAAAACCCCACAACTGTGTATCATTGTAAGACTTACAAAAAAAATTTTATGTATATTAGTGCATTTTAACACAAATTCTACGCATTGTTGCTTTCAGCATTTTACTATGCGGAGGAAAGTCTTGAGTAACTGAGATCTGAGAGGGATAACGTGAAAATTCAAAGAATTTCTCCTAGAAACGGAAGAATTCAGCTTCGCTAAAGAAAGGACATACCAACTAAAATAGTTGGTCCTCCCGTGCACCAGAGGGCGAAGCAGCTGGATGTGACGCTGTATGATAAACGAACGGCTCGCTGGAGTACACTTTCTAGAAGGTCTCGTTGGTCTCCGCACTATGCTGTCACCCAGAATGCTCAGCGGCCGCGGACTTCAGGACCCAGGCTGCTGTGCGGCTAAATACGACTCCAACCCCGCCGACCGTAGCGCGTAATGGCCGCTGGCTATCGTGGGGAAGCCTGCTGTTGGACTATGCCCCCCTGCCAGGAAACAGGTGCCGGAAGGTTCTCCAACAAGATCCCGCTTTACTAGGGCGGTAAAGGCGTTCACAGGTCTGGTAGGGGCTGTGGGAGAAGCGGGGCAGCGCTGAGCCATGCTCATGAATTGTGGGTTTGTGAGGAGGCCCAGTTTCGTGGCACCAAGGTGGCGCCCGCTCTGGAAGGTCGTCTTGTGACCGACCGGAAACTACAATTCCCAGCATTCCTGAGTTGCCAGAACTACCTTTCCCGAAAGACTGTGAGAAATTTAACCCGTCTTCCGCCTCCCGCCCACCGGAAAACTCCGAGGACATGAGTCGTCGCCTGGCTTGGCGGTTCTTGCTTTCCCAAGGCAGCGGGGATCGTTGGGTTTCAAGCCCCCGCGGGTATTTCTCGCCGGCCCCGCGGAGAGGTGAGGCAAGACGTCGTGTCATAGATGCCTGAGTGCTCTCTAGGGAGACGACGACCGTGGGTCGCGCCTGCTCGAGCGGACCCGGGAAGGTGCCACGCCCTCCTCCCCTGCTCACGCCTTGTGCTGGCAACACCGCCGCCTGCTGCCCCGACTTGCCGGGCTCGCCCCCAGGGGCGAGGACTGCGGAAAGCACCGCCTTTCTCGTCGTAGAGCGAGCCTTGGAAGGCCTGGGCTTCACGCCCGGCTTCTTAGCCCATGTTTCCCTTTTTTGGTGACAAGAAGCTTGTAGATTTGTCAGGAGCCAGAGTAAGGTCATCTGTGTTTGAGGGTGTCCCGATTTCTTTTATGGCCTGTTCAAAGTTAGATTGTTTAGGTGCTGGCCTTCAGCCCAGGTTTTTAAGTCATAAATTTCAGGTCACGTCTGCCTTATTCTCGCTGGAATTCTCAGTATTTTCAGTCACATTGTAGATTTAGTGGGGGGGGGGGGGGAAACCTGAATACCGAACCTACAAGTTTCCAACCGGTTGGCACCTCTGTTAACAGGGTGTTCTGAAGATACCTGACTTAATTCTGAGAAATGTTTCTAGGGCTAGGTTTTGTTGTCGTTTTTTACCCCTAGTTTTTAAACTTCCCTCCCAATTTTTAAACTTTTTAAGCTGGTCCACAAAATAGGCAAATAGACACCTCATACCAATCTTAGCATTCTCTGTTCACCTTCTTGAATCTTCAGTGCCGGGCACACTGAGCCATTCAGTACCCAAACACGTCCATGCTGTTATTTATGCTCCACGCTGTTACTGGTGCTATTTTGCTCACTGTTTCATTTTAATCCACACCAGTAAGAGCTGCAGTGCCAGGGTCATTCACAAGGTCTCTTTTGTTAGGTATTTTGGTGTTTAGCATACATACACATTATGATGGATTTTACAAAAAGTAGGCAGCACTTTTGAACTCCAGGAAACCATCCAACTGTCATCTTTGTTGACTTTTACAGGCGTACTTCATTTACATATTCAAATGAAAACAAAATTAAACATTTTTAGAGAATGAACTTTGAAGTGCATATCATACTGGGAAACACATGACCATAAGTAAATGTTAGTGTTTTACATAAAAGTTATCCCACTTGAGTCTGAGTATTCTTGGAGAAACCTTAAATCTCTTCTTACAAACTAATAGGATGTGTCCCTCCTCACTAAACAAATATTGAATGTTTATTGTATACAAGTAGTTTAAACTTGCCTAATAATAATGGGATGCCTAATAATCAAGGGATTTGAAAACCTTGACCTCTGACCAATGGAAGGACTTAGTTATTCTAATGCAATTAGTCTAGCAAGTTAGTAGACCAGCATGTAAGAATATACACTGTAATGCCTGTTCTTTTGAGGTCCTGACAGAAAAATAACTGGCTATACACTGAAGTGTTTCAGCTGTAAAGTTAGTAAATTAATATAAAACTTGCAGCTTATATTTAATGGGACAACATTTTACATCTCTTTTTTGTTGTTGGTTTTTTTTTTTTTTTTTTTCAAAAGTAAAATTTGACCTTTTCCAGCAAAGAGGAGCTCAGTGCAAGATAGGCCAGAGTTCCAATCAGCAGTCTATGACTTAGTAGGTTTTATGGAGCTGGTTAAACCTTTAAACTCTTGAGTTTGTATCTCACTATTATAAACAAACAATCTATCATAAACAAATCCACAAGATAGGTCTCAAAGAATCAAAAGAAGTAACAATGAAAGGAAAAGTTTGGGATGTTGTACATATGTTTAAGTCTATGCAAAACTTTTCAAGTTATTAAGGATCTGTTATTCCACTTTGAGCTGGAAACACTGATTCTAAGAGCACTTATCTCACCTACCTATTAATACGGCTGCAAATACTTTCTTTTTTTTTTTTAATTTTTATTTTTTTGAGACAGGGTCTTGTCACCCAGGCTGGTGTGCATTGGCGCCATCTTGGCTCACTACAACCTCAGCCTCCCAGGCTCAGGTGATCCTCCCACTTCAGCCTCAAGTGGCTGGGACTACAGGCACACACCACCATGCCCAGCTAATTTTTATAATTTTTGTAAGGACAGGATCTTGCCATGTTTCCCAGGCTGATCTCGAACTCCTGGGCTCAAGTGATCCCCCTGCCTTGGCTTCCCAAAGTGCTAGGATTACAGGCGTGAGCCACTGCACCCGGTCTGCAAAGACATTCTTAATGAGTGCTTATGCATGCTCATGACACAGCTGGAATAGTGATTATGACACCCTACTATGAATATCCAGTGGTTTTTTCCAGTTCCTTATGGCTTCCAAAGTGGAGTGAAACCCAAAGTTCTACTGTCAGTGGGCGTTAATACCTACCTTAGAGGATTGGGAGGACTAAGCAAAATATGTGACTATTTGAGCACATACACAGAATAATGTTCTACATATCCTTCTGTATTCTCAGCTCTCCCTAGCCCATAATAAATATAAGCAAGTGAATAACAAAGGCTGCCCATGCCTTGATATTGCTCATTCATCCTGCCTGGGTAGCTTCTCTAAGATTTAATGTAGCTCTACCGTCATCCAGATAGCCACTCTTGATCCTTTATTCTCAAGGAGGGCCAGCTGTCTCTCCTTTGTATTCATTGTGTATACATAATGCAAAGCACAGTGCCTTTCATTCAGCAGGTATCTATCAATGGAGCATCCAGAATTGTGCAGGCACTGGGAATTCAATAGTGAGCAAGAACAGATGTGGTCCCTGCTCTCAAGGACTGTATAGTTCAGTGCAGGGGTTGACAAACTTTTTCTCTGCAGAGCCTAATAATAAATAATTTAGGCTTTGTGGGCTCTAAGTTCAGTCATAACTATTCACTGCCACTGCAGTGTGAAAGTTGCCATAGATTAATCCATAAATGAATGAGTCATGTTCTAATAAAACTAGTTCTAAGGAATAAAACTAGAAAAACATAGACTATGGGCTGTAGTTGGCTGACCACTGGTCTCTTGGGGAGAAAACTGAGAGTCACATAAATGTGTAAATTGTGAGAAGGTTTGCAAAAGAATACTTTGCAGTACTATGAAAAACCATCATGAGAGAGACCTAAACTAAAGGAGTCATCAGGCTTTCTAAAGGAAGAAACATTCAGACAGCTCTGAAGGATAAACAGGAGCAGGCAGAGAAAAGGAGAGCTTTCTGAACAGGGCAGGGGCGAGGCAAAGGCCCTGAGAAGGGAAAGCACATGGCATGTTCATGGAATTAAAATCAAAGACCCTTTGAAAGCAGAGGGCCAGAGAGCATAGTAGTAGGACATGAAAGAAGCTGCAAGATTTATTGGCTTGTTAAGGTATTTGGTTTCTATCTGAAATTTAGTAGGAAGCTGCTCTTTGTGCAAGGTATTCAGAGTGTTTCTTGACTAAGTCAGAGGAACTGTACTAATCTGCCTAGCTATGAGACCATAAGATTGTAAACTATAGACTGTCCTCAGGATAGTTTGACTTAAAATTTTTCAACTTTACTATGGTGCAAATACAGTATGCATTCAGTAGAAACTATACTTTGAATTTTGATCCTTTCCTAGGCTAGCAGTAATGCAGTATTCATGCAATACTAAGCAGGGGCAACAAGCTGCAGCTCCCACTCAGCCGTGGATCACAAGGGCAAACAACCAATACTTAGTATTGCCAGGGTTTTCTGGGTTTTGTTTTTGCATCCTGTCATGTTTATAAAGTGCCCATCTGGGTGTCTACATGAAATATTCAACATTTGATTATAAAATAGGCTTTGTGTTAGATTATTTTGGCCGACTGTAGGCTAATGTAAGTGTTCTCAGTGTGCTTGGGTAAGCCAGGTTAAGCTGTGATGTTCAGTAGGTTAAGTATATTAAATGCATTTTCAGCTTAGGATATTTTCAATTTGCCTCATCCATAAAATGAGAATTTTAAGGATGGGGTAATGGATATGAAAACAGTAAAATACTACATAAATATTATTACTGATTATTTTTCTAAATCCAAGTAAACTTCTAATCAGGGATACGTAACTAAAAATACCATCATTACTCCTAATGCAGTTGTTACTGAAACTATTGAAATCTGCCCCTTTTTCGTCTAATTTTTCTTTTTCTCTCCTACCTTAGGTCTGACATTGACACACAAAGGCATGTTTCTTTACCCTTCTAGATGACATTCAAGTGAAAAAGATTATTGACTATTGTGCTAACATGTGTGTGTGTTTTAAAAACTTGCTCTACCTTTATAGCTGCTTGCTTTTATCTCTTAAGTAAAAATTTTTGGAGTATGAATATCTTTTATAATTTGAATTTAGAGTTTATTTTTGGTTTTTTAAAAAAGAGTATCTGTTTCCTGTCTTCTGGTCTATAAAGTCATTGAGAACATCATTCATATCTGGTTTTGCTTATCATTTTATCCCTTGTGCCTGGCACAAGTTTTAGCACTCAACAAATATTTATTAGGCTAGAAGGATGTAAGAAAAGAATCACATTTGTCCTACACAGTACCAGTGGAAAAGTAATGCCTGAAGTTGCAGTCTTAAATACTTAGATATTTTAGGTGGCTTGGGATAAATGAGACAGCATGGAGTGATGGAAAGAATGTAAGATTTTTCAGAAGAACATGAGTCTGAACCCTAATTATGCCATTGGCTTTGTGACCTTAGGCAAACCCCTTTACCTTTCCTAGAAGTTGTTTATAGGCAGAACACCTTATAATAAATTCATCAGCAATATACAGAAAAGGTCTTTACTGTGTCTAGGTTAAAACTTGGGGAATTTATTGAAATAGGACAAGGTTTATTTCAGAAATAAGAAATTGCTCCTAGAGCTCTTAACGTTGATACCAGTAAATACGCCCATGATTTCAATCAAATTCATGGACTGAATCAGCAGTAAAAGTTTGTGACCCAACTTTGTGCCAAAGCACTGTTCTAGATGCTAAAGATACAGTAGTGAAAATCACAGTCAGATCATCATGAAGCTTATATTCTGGTCCAAAGAAACAAACAGCAAGCAAGATAATTTCATTTTGGAGCTGACAACTATGTAGGAAATAAACTGTGGGCATATAAGTGAGTGGGAGTATAGAAAGCTACTTTTAATAGAGATTTAAGTGTAAAAATTTTTCATAGCTCTTTGGAAGACTTTTACTGAGCGCAGAGAATAGCTGAATTGAGCAGTTTTTGCTCTTCAGTAATTAGAGCTGAGGTGGTGATATCCAAAGCATTTGATGTGTGTTTTATTACAATTTTAGACCAACTCTTAACATTTCTGAATACTGAAGGAGGGAAAAATAATTTATTGAATGAATGGTATGTATAGAAAAACATCAGACTTTTCAGATTAAAGAGAGGCTCAAAGGAGTCAATTAACTTGGGTGAGATGACAAAACTAGAAGAGCCAGAACTTTATTACAAATGGATGGGGAAAATGCTTTGTAAGCTAAAATATAATACCTGTATCAGTTACTACAAAAGAAAATAAATGTCTTCTCTTTTCAGACTTCTTCACTACCACAACCAAAGAGGGATATGATAGGCGGCCAGTGGACATAACTCCTTTAGAACAAAGGAAATTAACTTTTGATACCCATGCATTGGTTCAGGACTTGGAAACTCATGGTAAGAAACATGGATACCTCTTGAAAGAAGAAAATTAATAGCACTCATAATCATTGCCTAGTCAAGACAGTATCACTATTATGAACAATTAAGAGTAACTAAATAGACCTTGCCATCCATACAATTAAATATTTTATAATCATTAAAAATGATATTGCTTGAGAAACATTTACTGATATGGAGAGTGTTCAAGATACGTTAATTGAAAAAAGCATATGAAATATGTGCAGAATGATTCCAAATAAGTGAAAAAGAAGAAAACTAGAGTTTCTAGGCTGATACTAAAGTGGAACAATTGTTTGAAATTAAAAAAGCAGAAAATAAGCACAAAAAAATTACCTGATTTCAAAACAGTAATTTAAATTATGTGATATTACAGGAATAGACTAATAGAACAAAATGGTATTCACAGAGACAAAGACATGAATTTAATATGTGATGAAGGCATTACAAATTAGGGAAAGGAAGGACTATTTATTAAATGAGATATAACAAATGAGTAGCCATTGGAAAAAAGTATTCTAGAGCCCCTTAAACTGAAAACTAAATTTCAGATAGATAAAAAGCTAAATGTAAAAGAATAAGCAGTTTTACAGAAAAAAAAAGGGCAAATGCTATTAACAAGCAGAACACAGAAAAACAAACATAACAAAAAGTATATGTAATGCTTAACCTCACTACCAACCAAAGAAATGCAAATTTAAGTAACATTAACATAATACCATTTTTAATGCCAATTATACACTCAAAAAAAAGTAATATCCAGTGTCAATGGGAATTAAAATTGTAGAGTACTTTTAGAGAGTAATTTAGCATTATCTCTCAAATTTTTAATTGTAACCATTTTTTAAAAGAGTATATAACAATTTAAATGTTGAGGGGTTACTCTAGCTGTCTATTTTGATAAGGATATGCGCTTTAAAAAAATAAAATAAAATACCTATTTTCTGCCTACAGGATTTGACAAAACACAAGCAGAAACAATTGTATCAGCATTAACTACTTTATCAAATGTCAGCCTGGATACTATCTATAAAGAGATGGTCACTCAAGCTCAACAGGTAATACACTGATTATTATCACTTCTGATCGTTTCATTAGACAATCATTTCATAACTACATCTCTGGCTACCTACTGACCTTCCAAACATGCTCCTATCTTCCTTGTTCTCTCTAAAGGGACCACAGAAAAAAAGAATGAAGTCAATATTTAGAGACAGTATAGTTAGAATAGTTGTAATAATACTGTGGTAACAAAGAGAATGGTATTTTGCCAAATTTTGATGAGATGAGATCATTATATTGTGTTATTCATGGGCGGTGGTAGATTGTTAGTGAAACAACTTTTTCCCTCTAGAAAGGTCACCACAGTGGAAGAGCTAATCTTTCTATATATTAAGTATGTTTTATTGCTGCCTTTACATATGTATTGGTTAATTTTCACAGGCCTAGCTGGAAAAGACTTACATGGCTGGGAAGGAATTTATAAATTACCTAGCTAAGATGCTTTAATTTGACTAAATATAAAATTCTTTAAAGTCAAATATAAGAATTTAACATGAAAGAGGCACAGTGCTGGGTACTTTTCATATATGATTTAATCTCTAACAGCCTTGAAAAGTAGGCAAAATTCTCTCTGGCTGCTGAAGACAACTCGGAGAGATTAAGTAGTTTGCAAGAGTTTTCACTGTGGTGATATGGACAAAAAGCAATAATTTTACATAAAGGATTGAATAAACTCAATGAACTTAACTGGAATAATTCATTTCTGTCAGTCATGAAATAATGTATTATATTTAAGAATCTGTTTTCTTCCTATGGATTTTAATTTTTCAAATTTAGGCTTCCTTCCTCAGATAAGTATTTTACGGCACAGAGAGAAAAATCAGGATTTCTTATATAAAACTAGAATCTCTTGCATAAAATTTCATTACTATAAGGGTCACAGTAGATCAAAAGATTGTAAAGAGATGCTGTGGCTCACACCTGTAATCCCAGCACTTGGGGAGGCCAAGGTGGGCAGATCACTTGAGGTCAGGAGTTCAAGACCAGCCTGGCCAACATGGTGAAACCCTGTCTCTACTTAAAAAAAAAAAAAAAAAAAAAAAATTAGCCAGGCATGGTGGTGGGTACCTGTAATCCCAGCTATTCGGGAGGCTGAGGTAGGAGAATCACTTGAACTGGGGAGGCGGAGGTTGCAGTGAGCCAAAATTGCACCACCGCACTCCAGCCTGGGTGACAGAGTGAGACTTTGTCTCAAAAAAATTTTTTTTAAAACTATAATCTCCAATTATAGTACCTATGACAAGTGTCCAATTAATTAGACATTTAAAATTGAAACATTCAACCCCTACATTCAACTTCCCTTTAAGTTTGTACATGCATTTTTTTAGCTAGTTTATTTAGGATTGTAACAGACTACTAAATCCACTAAAGAAAAAGCCAAACATTTAGTTAGTTACTACACAGCTCTGAACTGTCTGGAAAGAGCTATATGGAGCTACTGTTATTTTTAAGAAAGTAATTTTTTTTTATTTTTAAGTTTACCTATAAGGCGTGAAATAAAGCTGTGATTTGAGGAATCTTTGTGCTGCTAGGACCATTTAATCCTATAAACAAGAGGTAGGATTGGGCATAAAAATATTACTATTATACTTTTGGCTTTTTTATTACTGGTGCGTGAAGTTAAAAATCCTGTTCCGTTCTTGTATCTAATTCCATTGCTGACCCCACCTCTAGTATAGAATAAGGCATCGAGATGTCATGAAGGGTGGAGCTAAGGCTCAGGGCCATCAGGCCATCAAGTTGCATACATGATCACTTCAGAATGGGCCATATGAAACCAAGTAAGCTAGCAGGATGAAGGGAAAAAAGAAAATAATGAAGTCTTCTTATTCTGAGAATTTGATTATATTGTGAATTTGATTAAACTCTGAGTATTCTTTGATGGCTCCATGGTTACAAAAATCACTTTTAATAGATTTGGTTACTTAACAGTGGATTATGTCTTTACATTTAAAGTTATTAAAGGTGGACACCTGTGCTGTTTTGTAGGCTTTTTGAGTCTGCATTTAAAGGAAGAATGAGGTAAAAAGAGGCTTTTAAGAGCCACAGTAGGGCCGAGTGTGGTGGCTCACACCTGTAATCCCAGCACTTTGGGACGCTGAGGTGAGCAGATCACTTGAGGTCAGGAGTTTGAGACCAGCCTGGCCAACATGGCAGAACTCTGTCTCTACTAAAAATGCAAAAAAATTAGCTGGGCATGGTGGTGGGTGCTTGTCCCAGCTACTGGGAGGCTGAGGCATGAAAATCGCTTGAACCCAGGAAGTGGAGGCTGCAGTGAGCCAAGATCGCCCCACTGTGCTCCAACCTGGGCAACAGAGCAAGGCTCTGTCTCCAAAAAAAAAAGAGCCACAATACAACCCCTTATTTTCAGGTTGAGACTCCACAAGAAGTCTATATTTAGCTTTCCAGCTTTTGCCTATGTAATCTCAGTAATAAGAATACATTATTTTTAATGTCTTATAATTCCTTTATAATGATACTTGGGGCAAACAGGACTGCCAGCCCCTAGAGGCTACATCCGTATGACTTCTGAATTAATTCTCATAAATATGTCAAGCAGAACTGAATAAAAGAAAATGAACACCCCTCCTCAGTAATACATGAGGGTTAGAAAAGGCATGAGTCAGAAATGTCTGTTGAATAGAGTTAAAAACTTTTATCTATTATGATAAGAAGTCCAAACTCCTCCACATTAATACATTAGCATTAGACTATCCTGCTTCGGCCATTAGATCTCTGTCCCATTGGTAATAATAATAATAGCTAACGTTTCATTGCTAACCATGTGCCAAGTACTGTTTTAAGCATTAGACCGTACATTACCTCATTTAATCCTCAAAACAACTCTTTAACATGTGGCAGGTACTGTTACTGTTTCCATTTTACCGGCGAGTATAACAGAGAAATTCAGTGACTTGCTAGCATCTCACAGTAAATGGCAGAGTTTGGATTCAAACATAGACAGCCTGACTCCAGAATTCACAGTCTTTTTTGGGCTTTCTTGTTTTATTTCTAAACTATTATAGAGTCCTTATCAAGGTTATTCCCTCATTTGCTTTTTCTTTTGGTAAAGGATAGATAAAATAGCAACCTACCTAATTTTAAGAAGTTCAGTGCTACAGGCTGAATATCCCTTATCTGAAATGCTTGGCACCAGAAGTGTTTCAGATTTCAGATTTTTTTTTGAATTTTGGAATATTTGCATTACACTTGCCAGCTGAGCATCCCAAATCTGAAATCCAAAATACTCCAATGAGCATTTCCTTTGAGTGTCATGTTGGCACTCAAAAAGTTTCAGATTTTGTATTTCAAGATATTTGGATTAGGGATATTTGACCTACAACAGTTATATTTTCTTTGTAAGGCTGCCTTAAATCATTTCTGCAAAATTGTCCCTCCCTAACAAAGCAAAAGTTTATAAATCTATCAGGTAAGGGCCACCTTTTCTTTCACATGTTCTTTGTAGTGCCAAATGTAAGGAAGCTACCTAAGAATTTAAACAAAATTGATTATGTTGTGCTGACAGAAGGTAATTATTTTAACTATACATCTGTTTTTTTACTACCTGACTTCTGAGTCGTAACCACTACATGGAATTTTCCAGTGGTAGAAAATCTCTCAAAATCAAAATAAAAAGAGAAAACCCTTTCCATTTGAGTATTCAAAAAACAAGAACAAAACATTATCTTTTTGAGGAATTCTTAGGGTCTAAGGAAGCATTTTATTGAGATTCTTTTCATTCAAACACCTGCATATTTGTCTCTCTTCACTAGGAAATACATTTTATCTCATTTTGACATTTTAGATATGTAGGTTTCATATTTCCTTAATCAATCAACATTATACCTTGTAGCATGTTAACAAACTCATTTAAATTTCATGAAAACAATGCAAAATAAAAAGATGGCTTTCTATAGATCACTAGGTTATTTTTATTTTGTTTTCTAGGAAATAACAGTACAACAGCTAATGGCTCATTTGGACTCTATCAGGAAAGACATGGTCATCCTAGAGAAAAGTGAATTTGCAAATCTGAGAGCTGAGAATGAGGTGATACAAATTTTAATCTATTACTCATAAAATACTAATCTCATAATAAGCATCCTACTTAGTGAATAAGTTAATAAGACCAAATAATAATTCCATGTGGTTAGTAAACAATAGATTTAAAAATCTACTATTTATTTAACCAAAGCTAATTTTTTTCTATATAAATCATAGTGCTTTGCATACTGAAGAGAATAAGAGTTAAATTTTATACATATAAAATCACATAAAAGAGAAAATCTTTGAACTATATATATTATGTAAAATTTTTATATAATGGTTTCAGAGCTGAGAGTAATGTGGCATTTTCACTTTTATTTAAAGACATTTAGGTATTAAATGTCTTTGTGACTTAAAAGTATAATACTGTAATTAAGTCAGAATTTTAAGTTACATTATCCACTATAGCTTATTTTTAAATTTAGAAAATCAGTTTTTAAAAGTATAATATAAAAACAAATGCATTTTGTTCATAAGAATTGTTTTCTGAATACAGTGACTTACTAGTTTCTCTTGAAAATTTTTTTCTCATCAATTCTGGTTAGAAATCCATAGATTGTCCAAATTTTGGTAATCAAGGGTTTCAGATTCTTTTAATCATAATATGGACTTGGTTTAATGCTAACTGCATGTGATCTTTCTTGTACCTAGAAAATGAAAATTGAACTAGACCAAGTTAAGCAACAACTAATGGTAAGTGAATTTTTTTTCTAGCTGTTAATTTCAGAACCAATATTCATTACAAGATCATTTTTAAAATGTCTTTATTTTCTTGAAAGCATGAAACCAGTCGAATCAGAGCAGATAATAAACTGGATATCAACCTAGAAAGGAGCAGAGTAACAGATATGGTAATGTGCTTTTAAATGTACTTTCTTGGTTACTTACTCCTTTTCAATTTTTAGTCTTTTTTTTTTTTAACTTCCTGCTGCTTCATATCCTATAGTTTACAGATCAAGAAAAGCAACTTATGGAAGCAACTACAGAATTTACAAAAAAGGTAAGCTAATATGTAAAAATGTCTCTTTTATCCAGTTCTTATGCCTTGTAAAACTGCTTTTATGTGTACCAGTTTATAAGTTTGGACTTTAAAAAGCTAATTCTATAGAATCTATGGTTTCCTGATAGTTAGCCAGCATTTCTAGGGAAGCTGCCACCAGATTATTGTTCATGAACCTTGACCTTGAAGAACCGAGCTTCCACAGAGTGTGCCTTTTTAAACTATTTCTATAATAGAAAATAACTCTTTTTTTGGGCCGGGTGTGGTAGCTCACACCTGTGATCTCAGCACTTTGGGAGGCTGAGGCAGGAGTTCAAGACCAGTCTGGGCAACATAGCAAGACTCTCTCTCAAAAACAAAAAAAAATAACTATTTTTTAAAAGACAAAGATTCGCTATTGGTATTTATCATAGGTACTTAAATGAGTACCTAGGTTCAGTTAAATAATTTTCTTAAGGTTTAAAAATTTTTAAAAACATACTAAATATGTAGTGTTTATTAATGTGCCAGATACCATTTTACATGCTTTACTTGTATCGGTCTCTGTGAGATAGACACTATTATTCCCATTTTACCAGTTTGGAAAATAAGACACAACGAGGTTAAGGTCGCACAGTAAGTGGTGGCACTGGGAAAAGAACCTGTAGTCGAAATCCCAGACTGGGAACTACTGCTTTCCTTGTCAGTAATCCTACAGTGTAATCACGACTTCATCTCTATGGCTTGAGTAAAACCCCACTTTCTGACTCAGCCTTCTTCTTTTCTTAAAAGTTCAAAGCCATTTGTACACATTCGAACAGAAAATATGTCACTCTTGCTCATAATTTAATAGAAGAGAAGGTCACATTTGTTCTTCCCTTACTTCTTGGCCAGATAAAGGAGATAAGCAAGGAAATCAGCAAAGTCTTTTACAACCACTTTCTGTGCTCTAGGTCTCATCTCTTCTCCGTGCCTTTTGTCCGCTACACATTTATCAGTGTTAACCATCAGGTATTTCTTCTAGTTCTTTTTAATACTAGTGCCAGTTCATATATCTGGTTATTTTTTTTTTCATTTGTAGAATATATTTAAAGTTTTAACCATAATATCTTAAGGAGTTTGCACACATAAAATGATAGTTCTGTGACATAATTTTTTGTTTCTCACTTTATGATGTTATATATTTAGGTATCAAATATGTTATTATGAGGTTTTTAGTAGAATATTCCCAGTATGTGATAATTCTAAGAGATGATCTCCAAATTCGAAAGTAGAAGGAATGTGATTCATCAGTTTGTAGTGTTTTCTTTTTAATGTATTTTTTATGCCACTATACTTTTACTGTTTCTCCAGCTAAGATTTTATATCACAATTAGCCCATAAATGAGGGTTTCTAATGTAAATGGTTTTTTGTCTATTTAAACAGGGACAAAATTATGTTCTCTTATTTATTCTTGTTTACTACAGGATACCCAAACCAAAAGTATTATTTCAGAGACCAGTAATAAAATTGATGCTGAAATTGCTTCCTTAAAAACCCTGATGGAGTCTAACAAACTTGAGACCATTCGTTATCTTGCAGGTAAGACTGTCAGAGAAAGAAATTGCTATCATCTAGTTTTCCTGTTAGTTCCTACCTACCAACGTAACTGAGCAGGCACAGGAAGAAAAAAAAAAGGAGCTATAACAAGGCTCCTTTATTGCTTGGTCCCTATAGTGCTTAAAGAAGGTTCTAGTGTCAGGATATATTTTTGGGAGTCTTGCAGTTTTGTTTTTTTTTTTGGCTTTTTTTTTTTTTTTTACTACTTGCAATTTTTATTACAACAGATTACAAATTAGACCCAGCCAAAGGGTCTAAAGGAACATATAGGGTATAGTATTGGACAGTTCTAAATGTGAAGCTTCTGTCGTCCTCACAGATGTGTGAATGCAAGTTTAGCCTTCAGAATACAAGTTTAGCAGGCAACTCTGCAGCTTACTAATAGAAAAAGCATGTGGTTATAAAAGAAATATATATACAATGGGAATAACTGGATTTAAAAGTTTTTTTAAAAAAAAATATATAAACACAAGCACAAAATAATAGAAGGATAAACTGGGTATTCCACAGCGAAATAATGAAAATTTTCTTTTTATTGCTTATGTTCTTCCACAAAGATTTGAATGAGGTTAGAGAAAAAGATCAATAAAGTAGATATAAGCCCATTAAAAACCTGGAGGAGGGAGAGACGACTTCTTACCTTGAATCAACTGATGCAGCTTACATACTACCCCAAAATTAGATTATTTGTCACATACCGAGATTCTCAAGTACCATCTGACCTGACCCAATTATAGGGCCCCAGTAGTTAGAAACAATGCCCTAGTCAACTATTATTTGTCTTTTTTCTTTCTTTTTATAAAAAGTATTTTCATTATAAATTATCCATAGAATTCAAAAGCAGTCAAAGTGAAAGCTCCTCCCATTGTGTATTTACTATTAGTAGTAAACATTTCTAGGCTTTTTCTTCTGCATATAAACATTTTATATACTTCTTAAAAATAATTAGATCACATATTTTTATAGTCTACAACTTTTAAAGATTTAACCAAATGTCTTATTTCTTTCCACATCAATACACACAGACATCATTTTATTAGAAAGCACAGTATTCCCTATATAAAAACGCCAAAATTTATGTATCTAGTCCTCTGTTAACAGGCATTCTCAACCAGTTTTTCATTATTAAGGACGATACTGTATTGAACAGCCATATATATGTGTATGCTTGAGTAAAAACACACACATCTTTTTGCCGTCATTTCTGTATAACAACTTGCTATGTACATTTAAAATTGGGAGTCAAAAAGATATGCACATTTAAAATTTCTGACATTAACAAATTGCTGTCTGAAAGAAAACTGCAGATTTATACTTTTAGTCATTTTCTGGGCAGTCACCACTGATGTTGAGGTGCCAGCAGGGTTGAAGATGGAGCCCCCAGCTCTCAGCTGAACTATGGAAGGGGCACAAGAAAAATAGCCTACCTACAAGGGTACTTGGAATCAGAACTTACTCTTTCAATCTGTGAATGTGTGCCTCATTTTTTCATACCAGCTTTCTCCATTGGTTGGAAACATTACCACCTAGACTCTTTTATCATTCCACTTTCACTAATCAGGAGAGATTGCCCTCTTTCTTTAGTTCCAATTTTTAAAATCCTCAGAAAGAAGTCTGAATGGTTCATCTTGGGTCATATACTACCTTTTGTCCAAGAACACTGCTGCCAAGGAATGATGGCAATTTCCATTTAATCTATGTGGTTAATTTCTGTAGAAAATGTGGCATACTGGCCGGGCGCGGTGGCTCACACCTGTAATCCCAGCACTTTGGGAGGCCGAGGTGGGTGGATCATGAGGTCAAGAGATCGAGACCATCCTGGTCAACATGGTGAAACCCCGTCTCTACTAAAAATACAAAAAATTAGCTGGGCATGGTGGCGCGTGCCTGTAATCCCAGCTACTTGGGAGGCTGAGGCAGGAGAATTGCCTGAACCCAGGAGGCGGAGGTTGCGGTGAGCCGAGATCACGCCATTGCACTTCAGCCTGGGTAATGAGCGAAACTCCGTCTCAAAAAATAAAAAATGTGGCATATTTTGTTCTGGGCAGATAAATAATGAAAGCTAATGTTTACAGAGTGCTTAAAATGTATCAGGCACTTGCTCACCTAAGCATTTTACATATATGTAGAATGTCTTTCTAGACAGGGTATAGAGGATAAACAGCAAATTTAAAAGAATTTGGGAATGGCTCCATAGTTACCACAACAACAGCCATGAGAAATAAAAGCTGAAATAGCAGCAAGACTTGAGAGAGAAACTTAAATGCAGTCGACTGTATAGTCTACCAACGGAACAAAATGCCTGCCACCTTACAATAAATAAGTGTTCATTTTGGTTATCTAAAACTTAATTTTTATCAGCTGTTAAATCAGCAGAAGATGTAACCACTTAGCACTATGTGTCTGAAATAAATGACAGATTGAGTCTTGGTGTCACAGTATATAATAAGGATAACAAATCTTTTGTGTGTTTCTTTATTAAAAGAAAAAAACAGCTTTAGAGTCAAGTATGCTTAGTCTTAAATCCTGGCTCCACTGCTTGCTAGCGATATAACTGGGCTTAGTACCTTATCTGTACAATGGGGATAATACCACCAATCTCGTGGTTAAATAGAATAGTGTATGTAATTGCTCAGCGCACTAGCATACAACCTGACATGTGGCAAACAGTCGCAGGATCAAATGGGAGAATATGCAATTGCCCAGTGGCAGTACAACAAGAAACTCTTAGTGTTATTACTTCTCAAAGGCCCTTCTTTATATGTCTTAGAGATGCCTAATGCTGTTTCTTAAAATTGAGAAAATAATCTTATCATTAACCATGTTTCACTAAGTGGTAGGATCAAAGGGGATGGTATACAAATGGGTTTATGCATTATGATTAACTTTCCTTTGAAAGGCTTTCTTGTGTCTTTATTCATAAAAGTTTCCCCCTTCATCTCTAAATTGTCTATTTTTAAAATTCATCAATTGGTGTTTTAAACAAATAGGAGACTAGGGAGTCCCTAAAGGCCTCACTCAGACTTACCTTCTAAAAGCTGGGAAAACCGAAGCTTTTTTATCCAAAATGATGTATGTAACATAAAGTACAACTAGTATATTAACTATTTTAAAAACCTGATGCTTTTTCTGCTTTTCTTCTACTTCATTGAGTTTAAAGAGCTTTTACTAAAATTTTCGTTTTTTAAGAATTATGAAATTTTTTTAAATGTACTGAAAAGGCAATGATAATTCTCTTCTCTTAGATATATGGATGTTTATTCCACTAGCTTAACTACATAATTTTTTAATATACGAAAGATTTGAATGAGATCATTATCTCATTATCATGAGATCTGAAATTAGAGCTTATAATTAAAGTAGTCAATAATACTAATGTTAATGATTTTAAATACAATTTATAGGTTGTAAACGACATATAATTTACATTTTAATATACAGGCCCTTTTAAGAAGAATTGGGCATTAATGCTGCCCTAAAGAATGTCTTTCATCCTTAATTTTCTGGGGAATAAAACACATAGGATAGAAAATTGGTTGGATTTCCTTTGTTTTTTGCTCTTCACTTAAAGGTAACATTATTTTCTTGATCTCTGCAAAATAATCACAAATACAAGACCTATAACATAGTTTCTTCTTTTCACAGCCTCAGTGTTTACTTGCCTGGCAATAGCATTGGGATTTTATAGATTCTGGAAGTAGTATTAATGCTCATACTGCTGCAGCTATTGGCTTCTTAGAACACCAAACCAGGAGAAATTTACTTTGAACATTGTCAGTTGCAGCAAAACTTTACTACACAAGTTTATTTAAAGTATACATGGACTAAAAGAGGAAGTGTTTTAGAATGAGAAGACATATTTTGTCTTTATTGTATGTGTGTCTTACTATATTGAAAAGCTGTCATTCAAACCTGGTTTGAGATAGAAGAGCATTTTCCTTTTGATAATTCACAGAAATTGAACCAATTTTCTTGTGTTTGCTTGAACAATTGTGTAAATCATACAGGATTTTGTTGATATTGGCTGCATATTTGAAAACTATTCCCTAGCCTACATACTTATTACTGAAATAACTTTCCTGTAATTGCCTAATTACATTTTTCTATAAAATAAAAGATTATTAAAACAAAGTTGTGTGGATTTTAAAAGTGACTTACCATATAGTTGGAGACTGATTTCTTTTTGGTAATGAACTAAAACAATAAATTTTAAAATAATAGGCTAGACATGGTGGCTCAGCACTTTGGGAGGTCTAGGCGGGTGGGTCACTTGAGGTCAGGAGTTCTAGACCAGCCTGGCCAACATGGTGAAATCCTGTCTCTACTAAAAATACAAAAATTAGCCAGGCGTGGTGGCACATGCCTATAATACCAGCTACTCGGGAGGCTGAGCCAGGAGAATCCCTTGAACCCGGGAGAAGGAAATTGCAGTGAGCCAAGATCACGCCACTGTACTCCAGCCTGGGTGACAGAGCCAGACTCCATCAAATGAATGAATGAATGAATGCATGAATGTGTGCTTTAGTGCAAATATATAGCACTTAATATGAACCTGTAGAGGTGCTAAATATTGAGCTCTAATTATTACATGTATTTTTTAAATTTCTGATACACAAAAACCAGTTTATCCCTGCTTTAACTAGTTTAACTCATCTTTATTATGTAAAACAAAGCTTTTCTTAATAATTTACATTCAAACATTTATTGATATCTAGTACCTACTTTCAAGAAACTCATAGGGCAAGTTCAATTCTTTGTTTTGTTATTAGGTCTACCTTTTTTTTCTTATAAATTAATATCTATTAGTAAATCATATGTAATTTCAAAGAAATTTAAAATTTTCTTTTCATCTTAGTTCTTCATCTTTATCCAGATCAAGAATCCAAGACCAGAACGTAAACATTTTGATTTCATAATGCCTTGGTAATAGCTATAAAAGTTTGACAATCAGTTATTCAAAATAGCCTTGTCATTTGTTTAGCTATAATAAACAGGGAATCTGCAGTATAGAGCAGTCAAGAGATTTGTCCATATGGTCCAGTGACAGTCAGAGGCTTTCCAACTGTATTTTCCTCAAGAATCTAACTGCTGGTTTGTTTTCAAAAGAAAAACTCTTTTGACATTATCCTGTTGCATTCTGATTCATTTTTATCTCACAATCATATTGCCTGAGAGAGTCCTTAGCACATCATAGATGAATTTCCACTGGGTTAATTAATAAGTGACCATAAAAGTTAAAGTCCGCTGTAACAAACTACACTGCATTTGTTCATTTAACCAATATGACTGCCTGCTATATGCCAAACAGCATGCTAGTCTCTGTGTGCACAGAGATGAACATGGTTTCATTCTCATGAAATCGACAATGTTAGTGACGAAGAGAGACATTCAACAGGAAAATAAATTATTGTTTTGTTATGATTTTAAAATATTCTAGCCAGGCGCAGTGGCTCACACCTGTAATCCCAGCATTTTGGGAGACAAAGGGGGCAGACCACGAGGTCAGGAGCTCAAGACCAACCTGGCTAACACAGTGAAACCCCATCTCTACTAAAAATAGAGGAAATAAGCCAGGCGTGGTAGTATGTACATGTCGCCCCAGCTACTTGGGAGGCTGAGGCAGGAGAATCGCTTAAACCTGGAAGGCGGAGGTTGCAGTGAGCCAAGATCCCGCCACTGCACCCCAGCCTAGGCGACAGAACAAGATTCCATCTCAAAAAAAAAAAAAAAAAAAAAAAAAAAAAAAAAAATATATATATATATATATATATATATATATATATATATATATGTATGTATATATTTTTTTCCCTAAAATATTAAGAGGCAGTGCGTCTTTCCTCCATGTGAAGAAAGCTCCAGTAGCCTAACACTGTCGTCACTCTTCATCCCCTTATCCACTCTGCCCTAGGTAAAGAGACTTGCCCAACTGCAAATTTGGAAGGAGAAATAAGGCACAGTTAACCCACTTCCTCCCCACTCCTGTTTGGGACCAGTCTCTGTGCAGAGACATTCATTCTGTTCTGCTTCTATGAGATCAGGCTCTGCCTTTACAGGGTGAGGCCTGGCCCAGCAAAGCAATGCTTGAGGCAGGGTAAATCTGTCCAATTCTAGAATTCAGTGATAGAAAGCTTACTGGCCTGAAGATAAAACGCATTTTCTCTTGCTGGATACAGTGGCACACATTTATAGTCTTAGCTACTTGAGAGACTGGGACAGTAGGATTGCTTGAGCCAAAGAGTTCATCAAGGCTAAAGTGTACCATGTTCACACCTATAAATAGTCACTGCACTCCAGCCTGGGCAACACATGAGACTCTGACTCCTAAAACCAATTCTCCAGTAGTTTTATCAGTAAATAAAGTGGTTGTTTAGGCCTCTATATTAGCTTACGTTCTTCATCTTAGTTATATTCACAACCAAGATAGAAAAGAGATAGGCCATTTATTGGACCTTCTCAAGCCCCAACAAATAAAGATACATATTCCCAGGTTATACAGCCACAAAATATTAAATAGATCTGTGTTCTTTCTCATCATAGGGGTTTACCCAAAAAAGTATCCAGTAACAGAAGAATAGAAATATGCATACCATACCCTGTCGCCATTACTTTTAGATCCTATATCCTTCCCATGAAAATTCATTTTGTGGTAGTTCTGGCGTTCAGATAAATTTTTGTTTAGATGATGGCAATATATGAAATAAAGATGGATGAGAGGATGGTGTTTCTATATGCCTCAAAACTATACCTCTATTCTAGCACTTCCACCTCACTCTGAAACAGCAATTATATATATCTTTTTCCTACACTAAACTACAAGTTCTCAGAAGGCCACTAGACACATATGAGGTACTTGTTAAATGCCTGTGGACTAAATGAGACTCATAAATCTCAGTTGGCCTTAATCCAAATTTTTTAATATGCTGAACATATTTCATTCATACTGAGTTTCTGAGTATAATATAACTTTTGGGCATTTTCTATGGTAAGAAGCCTCCAAAAGGATTAGCTACTTTCACCATGTGTATCGCCACAGTATAGATCCTAACCTATCCATAATGCTTTGATGACAAAATAGGCTAGGCAAGAGTATGTAAGGACTTGGCAAGAGTCAGGAAAAACGCTTACCATATTGGAAAAACGATTCAAAACTTCTAATGTCAATTTTTAAGAATTTAGACATGTAACACTTTATTTTTTAAGTATTTTTTAATATTTAAAAAAGGGGCAGTGGGAAAGGCTATGGTTATGATCGCTAAAATTACTGATTGTTATTTTGAAAAAGAATAGCTACCCTTGACTATACGACAGCAAATATGCTAAATAACATATATATGTGCTCAGCTATACGACAGCAAATATGCTAAATAACATATATATGTGCTCAGCTATTTTCACAGCTCTCTTCTTAGGTAGACAGTATCCTCATTTTACAGTTGAAGAAAAAAGTTTAGCCAAGTGAAGTAACTTGTCCCCAGTCCCCCAGCAGATAAGTCACAGGGACTCAAGTCTTCAACTCCAAATCTCACTCTCTCATGCTTTCACTCAATATACTACTAGTGTCCAACCTGAGTACTATTTCTCATGAGATGGACAATCTACTGAGTCATAGGAACAAAATAACGTAAATCCCTTCAATATCCTTTTCACTTGTTTTTTGTTTATTAACCTAATGTGTCAATAATATATATTATTTATGAATAAATATACATAATTTTGGAATTATACATTTAATTTAGCTACTGTAACAAAACCCAGAATATCAGTAGCTTAAATAAGATTAGGTTTATTTCTCTCTTACAGTCCAATGTAAGCATTCTAGGGCCAATATGTCAGCTCCATGGTGTCGGGGCCCTTGCTCCTTATTTTACTGCTCTGCCATCCTTGTGTTCCCCTCATTCACAAGGTCCAGTGGCTGACTCACCACCACATCCACATTCAAGAAGAAGAAAGGAGCAAGAGGTGACTTTCGAGCCATGGCCCTAAGGTTTTATGTAACATTTTTTGCTCACATCCTTCTGGACACAACTTGGTCTCTTAGCTGCAAAGCCAGGCTGGGAAATTAGTCCTTATCCTGAACAGCCACAAACCCAGAAAAATCCTTCCCGCTATGGAAGAGGGGAGAATGGATTCTGGAGGACAACCAGGGAACCTCTGCCACAGGGTGTGTATGCTTTTATTACAACACTATTCTGGTATTTTCTCTCACTGGTACAAAAAGAGATTAAAGAAAACTGGAGCAAATATAACAAACTATTTCCAGGTTTGGGATTACTTTAGTAGCAAGTTAGAGGGGAAAAGTAAGGCTATGTGTAGTCCCAGAAGGGGAGGGAAATGGTCTGGAAATTCCATTAATGGTTAAGAGAATGCAGACTTCTGCTGCCAAGGTTAGGATCCCAGCTCAGCATCGTATAATCGTAGGCACAACTACTTTATCTGTAAAATATACCTATCTCCTATGGCTGCCGTGACAATTCAGAGATAGTTAAGGGCTTGCTTGGCACAAATCTTAAGAGTTCCCAATAAATGTGCTTTGCTGACCAAAAACAACTGTGGCTTTCGGTTCAGTTCTGACTTCAATTCCCTCTTTTTTCCCACCCCCCTCTATTTTCTCTTCTCTTCCCACCATAAGCCAGCAAAGATTTGTGACTCTCTTGGAGCCAGCTGTGAAGCTCCTATCTCCCTCTAAACATCTGTCGCTGGTTTGGGGGCTTCCCTGGCAGCAGCCTTCTCACCATATACCAAACTTCCCACCCTGTGGACCCTTGCATCTACCTCACATGGACACTAAAGCCAATTTGACCTAGTATCAGAACTAGTTTACCCTGACAAGACTGCATTCGATTGCTGAAACCAGTTCAGCTGGTTAAGGGTCTGTAAGCAAGTGTTAAAAAATGGCTCACCTATCTTTTTAATAATCCTTACATATTTTTAGTTCTTCTGTGGTTTCTGTGGCTTTCAATCTATACTAATAGCAGTTGTCAACATTTATTGGGCACTTTGTGTAAGATCTGTTCCAAGTCCTTTACTATCTCTTAATTCTCCCAGTGACAGCCATATGAGGTAGGTATATTTTATAGAAAGAGATTAAGTAGTTGTGCCTAGGATTACACAAGAATGCAGAACTGGGATTAACCTTGGCAGCAAAAGTTCATTTTTTAACACTTACTTACAGACCCTTAATCTGCCAAACTGGTTTCAGCAATCAAATGCACTCTTGTCAGGGCAAACTAGTTCTGATGATACTCGGTCAAAACAACTTTAGTGTCCACATGAAGTGCATAGAGATGTCCAGAGGGTAAGCAGTCTGTGGAATGGTGGGAAGGCAGCTGCCAGGGAAGCCCAAAACCAGTAACAGATCTTCAGGGGGAGACAGGAGCTACACAGCTGGCCCCAAGTGAGTCATAAATCTTTGCTAGCCTATGGAGGGAAGAGAGGAGAACATAGAAGGGGGGTAGGAAAAAACGTCATTGAAGTCAGAACTGAACTGAAAAGCCATAGTTGCTTTTTGGTTGACCAAGCACTACTAATCTTTAAGATCTAGGGGAAAAGAAGGAGAAATAAAGCCAAGTGTTTCTTATCCTGTCCAGTCTGCCTCTTCTCTACAGTCTTCAAAAGCTTGCAGTTACGTCATTTGAAAAACAATTTTTTTAAACATATTCACACTAGTAGAAGTAAAGAGTACTCTCCAGAAAGTGAAAGAAATATGATTCTATTATGGAACCATAGTTGAATTATTAATAATTTATAATATCTAGAACTAGATTTCTTTTGATTACTATAACATCTAATATATTTAAGTTTACACGAATACTTATAAAATTAATTACTCATAAATCTCTTGACTTGCCTGTGTAGCAATATATAAGAAGCATATTGGGAGAAGGTGTGCAGCTGAGTCTGTGCCATTTAAAAAATCTCTGTATCTCTTTAGTGTAACATATTTCTGCTTTCAGAGTTGAAACAGAAGCATATCAGAGTAATTCTGAGATAGTTTTATAGACTTACATTTCTATCAATTTTTTAAAAGAAGGAGAAAAATCAAGCAGGTTTATTTAGTTATTTCACTAATTAGTACCTTCTCACAAATACTCCCCCAGAAGAAACCTTCTTTTTCACTCGCCTCTTCTCTCTGTTTGACTCACAAGAAGTGCTGTCTGCCTATAAACAAAGGAAAAGGGGGTCAAATGCCATTTTCATGCTAGCACACATTTTCAGCTTCCTACATTGCCTGTTCAAATGAAAAGAAAAATTAACCATACTAGTGTTTTCAACTCTGATTAAATTTCTTTTAGGATTTTTTTGAGAATAAATTCCCAAATCTGAAGTACCAGTGCATCGAATTGTGCTGAATCGTATGACTGGGAGGAAGCTTAAGAACTAGAGAAAGAATATGGAAAATGTAGTGAGAAAGAGGTGGCTACTTATCAGATACAGACAACTTTCAACCTTATCTCATTCAGTTTTATCTCCACCTAATCGATCCCCAGACACTAATATTTAACAACATATTGCTATGTCAGTATGTCATCTGGATTCTTTTGCCATTCCCATAGTGCTGCTAATCATTCCCTAACTTCCCCATTCCCTCTTTTGTTTTTGTACTACATCCCTCTACTGTTCTAGTCTCATTTTGCTCTTTGCCTGGTCTCCCGGTTTCACTGTTTCTGAATATTTCTTATCCATCTTGGTATCCTTAAGACCCAGCACAGAAGAATCAATAAATACTATAGGAAGGAGCAAGCAGGGCTAGAAACACAATGGATAGCCACTAGATGTTAAACCTTTTTGATAATTCTTCCAGTCAGAAATGCTCTGCATCTAGTCAGGCAGGACAGCTCTGAACATAGAAGCTCCAAGAAGAACACAAGGTGCATGTCTCTGGAGAGAGCCCATGGCTGGAGTTGTTCCCCAAGGTGCTACTGCCCACACCTTTTCTAATGAGTCCAATTAGTTTAACTCAACCGTGTGTGAACATGGAAGGAGGCTGCCATTATCCAACACCGCCTGGAAAAACAACCATGCATCTGGTCCTTCCCACATCCCTCAGCTGCAAACTTGAGAACAGGATAGAGAAACTTCTAGCTTTCTCTTATAGTGGCCAGGTGTTTGTGGGCATAGGGTAATATAGATGGTCTCTTGTCTTGAAAAAAGCTTGCCAGCTAGTTTGAAGAAAAATAACCTTTGATTGGGACTTAGCATATGATATAACTGCTCTTCATACTATATATACAAAATATAGTAGGTAGCATTACCAATATTTTAAAGATGCCAAGTGTTATGGTGGCTCATACCTATAATCCCAGCACTTTAGGAGGCCAAGGCAGGCAGATCACTTGAGCTCAGGAGTTCAAGACCAGCCTGGCCAACCCCATCTCTACTAAAAATACAAAAATTAGCTGGGCTTGGTAGTACTGCCTGTAATCCCAGCTACTCGTGAGGCTAAGGCAGGAGAATCGCTTGAACCCAGGAGACGGAGGTGGCAGTGAGCCAAGATTGCACCACTGTATTCCAGCCTGGGAGACAGAGCAAGACCCTGTCAAAAAAAAAAAAAAAAAAAAAAACCAGAAAAACACTCAGGTGAGGCAGGAGTTTAACCTAATCTAACTAGATGGAACTAGAGAAAGAATATAGAAAATTTAGGGGGAAGAGGTGGCTACTTGTCAGATATAGCCAATTTTCTTTTTTTTTTTTTTTTTTTTTTTTTTTTGAGACGGAGTTTCGCTCTTGTTACCCAGGCTGGAGTGCAATGGCGCAATCTCGGCTCACCGCAACCTCCGCCTCCTGGGTTCAGGCAATTCTCCTGCCTCAGCCTCCTGAGTAGCTGGGATTACAGGCACGCGCCACCATGCCCAGCTATTTTTTAGATTTTTAGTAGAGACAGGGTTTCACCACGTTGACCAGGATGGTCTCGATCTCTTGACCTCGTGATCCACCCGCCTCGGCCTCCCAAAGTGCTGGGATTACAGGCTTGAGCCACCGCGCCCGGCCAGATATAGCCAATTTTCTAGTGCTTTAATAGAGTAATAAGACTTCCAGAAACAGGAAGGGCATGATGGCTCACATCTGTAATCCCAGGACTTTGGGAGGGTTGAGGTGGACGGATCACTTTGAGCTCAGGACTTTGAGACCAGCCTGGGCAACATGGCAAAATTCCCTATCTCTACAAAAAATACAAAAAATTTAGCTCGACATGATGGCTTATGCCTGTAGTCCCAGCTACTCACAAGGCTGAGTCTGGAGGATTTCTTAAGCCTAGGAAGTGGAGGTTGCAGTGAGCCAAGATCGTGACCCTGCATGCCAGTGGGGCAGAGTGAGACCCTGTCTCAAAAAAATTAAAGACTTCCAAAGACAGTAATACTAATTTTTCTTTACCTTTTATATATTAGAAGAGATCTTAAGAATTCCAAATTTTCTAGAAACAATGGTTAAATACCAAAGTCTCTCCTAACACCAAATATGTAACTTGTTTTATGAAACCAAGTCTTACAACTACTTCAAAAGAAAATACATGCTTAACATTCAACAGGCCTCCATAAGTGTTCATTGCAGGTTCCAAATGGCTAAATTCTAAAAGTTTCCTCATTTGGAGAACACTTTTCACCAAGATTATTTATTTCTTTATCTTACAATAGCATAGCCAGGAAGTATATTTCTCCCCAATACATGTTTTCTCATAAACTCAAGAGAACTATATATTAAGATACTAAATATATGAATCATAATGTTTAGGCGCCAAAAGCAATTCTAAATGTAAATGCAGTCTATTACTACAACAAAATTAGATAAAAATCCTTGTAGGGAAAATATACTTTTTTTTTTTTTTGCCCTGAAAGGATTAATAGGCTTATTAAACAGATTTAAATTCTACACATAAAATTGTTGAAGAGTTTATGGATCTACAAATACAAATTGTTGCTGGGATATATGGAATTCTTATTTTTTTTAAATCCCATGCACTCTGAGAAGTTCTAGACAGCATATGAAACTAAAAGAACATTCCACCCTCTTGTTTATCAGTATAGACTCAACAGTGTCAAAACCAACCCTTTTCCGCCCCTCCAAAAGTGGGGTAGAGACAAAGAGAAAGAAGGGGAAATCAAAAACTTTTAGAACTTCCCCAAGCTAACAGCTGAATGTCGATAAGCTCACTGAAGTCCTCAAATTGCTCCACGGGCCACTCTAGGCCTATAAGCTAGGACGTTATAGGTTAGAGAGAAGCCCAGCAGAGACCACATCAAAATTCAAATCTGTTCTACACCTTTGTAGTTAGAATATAAGATTAAGTTAAACATGGAAGATAATTATGGAATATTACCAGTTCCAGGTGAGCCATCCTTGATCAGCAAACGTGGCCCAAAGCTGTAGACCAAGGACTTCCTAAATAATTCTGGTTCTGGAGACTGGTGCTACATAAATCTCCAGAGCTGGACAGACAGCTCTGCCAAAGCTATTACAATTCCCATCTAGTTTAATGTTTAAAGTGTTATATATATATGTACCAAAGAGCACAAAGGGAAAAAAAAGGACAGCTTGATGAATTTTTACAAAGTGAACACACTCCTGTGACCATGACTGAGATCAAGAAATTGAACATTACCGGCATCCCAGAAACCTCCATTTGCCCCTTCCCAGGCACTACTGGCTTGATTTATTTTACCTATTTTTGGACTACATGGAATCATATAGTATGTACTCTTTCATATTGTTTTCTTTTAGTCACCACTGTGTTTGTGAAATTCATTCACGGTGATGTGTAGAGGGGTAATTCATATATGCCATTGTATGAATATAGCAAAATGTATTAATTTAGTGTTGAGGGAATTTTCAGATGATTCTAGTTTGAGGGATGTATATAAAATAATGCTGATATGAACATTCTTGAATATATTTTTTGGTGTTCATCTGTGTACACGAAGAAACATGTACTAATTCCACTAGGAATGAATTTTCCAAAGTGGTTAAGCTGATTTACACTGCCACCATTGGTGTATAAAATCTCCAGTTGTTCCACACCTTCACCAACATTTGGTAATGTCTGTTTTAATTTTAATATATACCCATTCGGATGGGTATATATGGATATCTTGTTTGAGTTTTAATTTACATGTCTGATAACAAGTGATTTTGAGCACAATTTCTTGTTTACTGGCCACTTGGTTATCTTCTCTTGTGAAGTGCCTATTCAAGTCTTGCCCAGTTTTTTACTAGACTGTCTTTTTCACATTGATTTGTCTGAGTTCTTTATATATTCTGGATACAACTTCTTTTTCAGATAGGAGAGAAGAAAGAAAAGCAGAAAAAAGGAAATATATTTTTCTACACTTTAGCAGGCCTTTTCAAATCTTTTCATATAATCTTTGATGAACTTAAGTCTTACGTCAATGAAGTCCAGTATCCATTTTTTTCCGACCCCGAGGTTATGAAGAAAGCCTATGTTATAGTTTATCATCTCAACTTCCAACTTAAGACACATTTTGAAATATATGTTTGAATTTTCACTGTAACATTTTAACAAAATTATTACCAATTTTTAAGTTTTCATAAGTTAACCCTATTAAAAAGCTATCATTCAAAAGTTTTTAAAGAAAATTTTTCAAGCCGGGCGCGGTGGCTCAAGCCTGTAATCCCAGCACTTTGGGAGGCTGAGGCGGGTGGATCACGAGGTCGAGAGATCGAGACCATCCTGGTCAACATGGTGAAACCCCGTCTCTACTAAAAATACAAAAAATTAGCTGGGCATGGTGGCGCTTGCCTGTAATCCCAGCTACTCAGGAGGCTGAGGCAGGAGAATTGCTTGAACCCAGGAGGCGGAGGTTGCGGTGAGCCGAGATCGCGCCATTGCACTCCAGCCTGGGTAACAAGAGCGAAACTCCGTCTCAAAAAAAAAAAAAAAAAAAAAAGAAAATTTTTCAAAATAAACATTCTTAAAAGCACAGAAAGAGGAGGGTGAGGGGTTCATAATGGCAATAACAAGTGGTGTTAAAAGCACAGACTTGGGCTAGACAGATTGAAATCATGGCTAGCCATCTAACAAGCTTTGTCACTTTATACATTGTTTATCTTATCTGAGACTTGGTTTCTTCATTTGTAAAATGAAGACCATATATGCTGAAATATAAAGTCTTAATAACACTAAGCCCAACGTACTCAAAACCTATTGTTAATGATGGCCAAGATGATGTTATTTACATGAGTTAAATGACCTCATAAAACTAAGGTTTTCAGTACTGTGGGCTAAGTGCCCAGTCATGCTGCAATACAGATGATGGGAAGCCCTCAGACCAGTACAAAATGCTTGGTGGAAGGAGAGATCACGTGTGACCAGGGAGACTAGCAAAGGGGTGATAAATGAGATGGTTCCTAGGGGATTCTGAGAGACAGAGTCAATGGGCAGCTTTCAAGGTATATGGGCAAATTGAACAAAGGCTTAATGATGGGAAAGCATAGGGTAGCTTAAGAAAAAATAAGCTATCAATATATATAGGAGAATAGACAGAAATAAGGCTTGTGAGGTAGGTTAGGACTGAATATCAAACTGAAGAATCTGTACTTATTCAAGCAAGGAACATTTTCAAACTAAAGAATGACAAGAAAATCAAGCTGACCGCTGTGAGTCAGATGGATTTGGATAGGGAAGGAGTAAACACCAAAATTCTCTTAACAGTCGTTCAGACAGAAAGATACAGAAACCTAAACTAGGGAAGCAGCGAAAGTAGGGAGCATGTTCCTACCTACAGGATGGGCTCACTTTCCATATGATTTAAAGACGAAAACATGACTAATCATTAAGAGTCTAAGACTGGGTAGTTGAGAAAACAGTCATGCCATTAATTTAAATGCAGAAATAGGGAAGAGAATCTGGTCTTGCTATTGAGCTTGATTCTGGACATTTATTTTTATTCAAGCACCACCAGGAATTTCAGGTGGAAATGTCCAGCTGACGAGCAGTGAGAAATACAGGCGGGGAACCCTGGTGGGGACACGGTACTAAAGTATGGATTTGATAGTCACCTCTACAGAAGTATTAGAAAAAATATAATCTGAAGGCAGAGAATCTGAGGTTGTTACTGCTTTACACTAGCTCTATTCTCTAACAAGACTCTAAACTTCTCTGAGCCTCTGCTTTCTCACCTATAACACAGGGATCAAAAATATGTACATCATTCTACTTCCTCCTAGGGTTGATCTAAAATGAGACAATATCTGAGAAAATGTGGTTAAAAACAGCTGTTATCAAAAAGCCATTTAAGCACTTTATATATGTTAAACTATCCTAGGAAACTATTCTAAAAATTTTTCTCTCAGTAAAAATTGTACTATTGCAGATTATTTTGGGAGCTGATCTTAAGGTACAATAGTGTGCAATCATAGGTCCTGACCAGAAGGTGGCAGGAGAAAGACTTAGTCAGGACTTCTTGATGAATCATCCATATTTATAGCCCTGAACGAAAAGTTCATTTTACTTATACTTCATATATAGTTAGACTCCCAAATACATTCTTCTTATCCTTAGCTTAGTGTGCAAGAAACTGTATTCAGGATTTCTACTCAATATTCCATTTAACATCAATACGATCCCATGAGGTTTAGGTATTATTATTTCTCATTTTAAAGATGAGGAAACAGAGATTCAAGCTTTTGCAAGTGAAAATAAGCAGTGCCAGAGTTGCAGCTGCCATGAAAGCTCAGTGACATTTGCTTATTTACAAAAATTAGGTATAACCTAAAGCAAGAATGCAAAAAACATGAACTTCAAGCATAGTAACCTTGAGTCAGTTCTCACATTGTTGATAGAGTGAAGTTTTAGGGAAGCAGAACTGTGGAGTATGAAACCAGATTCGACCTGAGAACAGATGCTTTTGAACAAGAAAAGAGAATTTCTAAATAGCTAAAGGTAGAAAGTAGATAGTTCTGAATGGCTGAAAAGAAAATGTGCAGCTTGGGGGACTACCCCAAAAGACTGTCCCGCCTAGGCAGCTGAAGAACAACAACTTAGCCTTGACAACAAAGCAAGATTCCGTCCTTACAAAAAACAAATACATAAACTAATTGGCCAGGTGTGTTGGTGTACAGCTGTAGACCCAGCTACTTGGGAGGCTGAGGCAAGAGGATCACTTGAACCTAGGGAGCTCGAGGCTACAGTGCCCTATGATGGCATCACTGTACTGTAGTATGGCTGATAAGAGCAAAACCCTGTCTCAAAAAAAAGAAAACATCTTACCTTTCTACTTTTGGGGACACTAGGAGTCACAGAGTCCCTGCCACAAGGTGGAGAGGTAACAGATTTGATTGGAAGCTGTAAGTTATAAATGGTGCTGTGTCCTCTAGCCCTCTAACTAACACCACATGACTGTACAGCTGGCCTCTCTGATACTAAAGTTTCCCCACAGGCTAAAGGCAATACAAGAAGAGGGTTGCAAAAATGAAGAGGATAGATTAATTATTATAGTTAATTATATTCCTTGGAAAATCAAGCACTGGTGAGACACCAAAACCCAAAGAAACTGAGAAAGTGGTCTATATTTATATATACATAGAAATACACATACATGTTTGCAGATTAAACAGAATTTTGTCTAATATGGTATGTACTAAATTGTTAACAGTAGCTTCCTCTGGAGAGTGGAACTTCGCGTCAGAAGGAACATCTATCTTGTTTTTAATGCTACACATCAAACACATTTTATTATTTTAATATTTTTAAAGTGCTTATTAAAGAGACCAATGAATGGTTTGTGTAAAATAAAAAGAAGCCAGGAAATTTCTATAATACTAATAGATCAGATTTGAGGTGACACAAGCCTCAAACAGAATTAATCCATCCATGATGACTGATGAAGAAACCTCCCTATGGAAAGAAAATATGAAACGTACCTGAATCCCTACACTGTATCACAGTGATTTGTCTATAGGACCACACTGTGACCATCTTCACTTATAAAAGAGAGTGAGGGTCAAAGCTTCCCTGGTACACTTTCGGCCTACTCTCCTTTGAGACTAGATGGTATGAAATACTAGGGGTCTCTTGCTGTCACTTTTATTCTGCTTTCTGTACTTCACCTCCTATTCTGTACTTGTTCTTTGTATGTTTCTCATGTTTCTTTTTTGCTTCCTTCTATGTATTTCTCCTTTTTGTCATTTGAAGCATTTTTCCATTTTCTAGTGCTATATTCTGAATTCCAAATTCATAATTCCCATTTTGAAAAGAACCAAAGCAGCTGGGCACAGTGGCTCATGCCTTTAACCCCAGCATTTTGGGAGGCTGGGGCGGGCAGATCACTTGAGATGAGGAGTTCTAGACTAGCCTAGCCAACATAGTGAAACCCCTGTCTCTAAAAAACACACAAAAAATTAGCTGGGCATCGTGGTGAGCACCTGTGATCCCAGCTATTCGGGAGGCTGAGGCAGAGAATCACTTGAACCTGAGAGGCAGAGACTACAGTGAGCCAAGATTGGGCCACTGCACCCCAGCCTGGGTGACAGAGCAAGACTCTATCTCAAAAAAAGAAAAAGAAAAGAAAAGAAAAGAAAAAGAAATGAGCCAAGAGGGCTAAGGCTATGGGATCAAAAGACCAGACCAGAAATTGAGTACTGATTCTGCCACTACTGACTGTGTGAATTTAGACAAGTCACTTAATCACTCTGAGCCTCAGTTTTCCGTACGTTAACAGGGCAAGGTCAAAAAGTGTTACACAAACGTGAGTTTTTATGAGTCTGTAATCTGAGCAAAAGGATGCTATGACAACTTCTATGCTGGCTCTTTTCTACTTTTAAAACTATTCTTTGGGGGAACTAAAACTTTCTAAAATGGATTCCATTCAAAGCACTTTATTTTGGTTATTTAGAATATTAAAACATATATACCCTCCGCTGTCTTAGAATTCTTACTGATTATTCTGCTTATGAAAGTATTTTTTTCTTCTATAATACAATAATAACAATAATACTTAGGACCAAGCTGCTATTTGAACATAGATGATAGACAGATAGACAGATAGATAAACAGATAGGTAGGTAGATAGATAGAGACAGGTGTGTGTGTATATAGAAAGTTACATAGTTACAGTTTGTGTGTGTGTGTTCCTTTAATCCTGTCATCAGCTCTAGAAAGTATAAGTTACCATCTCCAGTTTATAGCTGAGGCACAAAAAGGTTAAATAAGTAGCCCAAATCAAAAAAGACTGTAACCAGGATTCAAGTCCAAAGAGCCCCAGCCCAAAGCTTGTTCTCTTAGCCACTCTTGTATATATTTTTTGACAAAAATAAATGTATTAAAAAGGACACTAACCATGGCCACAATGTTGGGGACTTGAATTTTTTCCAGTGTTTCCCTGAGCTGATCGACCTCTGCTCGATATTCATCAAGCTGACATTCTAATTTTTCTCTACGTAGTCGTTCATACTCCAGCTGGTCCTGCAGTTCTTTGATGGTCCTATCAAAAACAAATTTTTTAAAAAATCAATCACCAATGTCAACTAACAATTATTTTTAATAGTGGAAAGAATCCATGCATTGTGTTTAAGGCAAATAAAGAAATCATTTATTCAACAAATACATATTAAGGGTCTACTATGAATGAGCACTGACCTGGGCACTAGAGATATAGTGGTGAGCAAAAGGCCCAAAATCTGCCTTCCTGGACCTTACTTTAATAGTAGAGAGATGCAGACAATAAGAAAAATAAATAAGTAAAATATATGATATGTTGGAAGATAATAAGTGCTAAGGGAGAAAACAAAAATAAAGCAGGAAAGAGTAGTATAAAATGATAAAATGGTGTAGAGGAGGGGGTTAACATTTCATACACAGTGGCCAGGGAAGGCTTTACTGATATGAGGGCTTCTAAGACAATCCCTGAAGGATATAAGAGAGATAACCATGTAGACATTGGAAAAAAAGTGTTCCAGAGAAAAGGAACAAGTGCAAAGACCCTAAAGCTGAAGTATGCCTGATAAAGTACAAGAACACCAGAGGCCAACACAACAGAATTGTTTAAAGAATTAAAAAGGAGGCCAGGCATGGTAGCTCATACCTATAATCCCAGCACTTTGGGAGGCCAAGGCAGATGGATCACTTGAGGCCAGGAATTTGAGACCCACCTGGACAACACAGTGAAACCTAATCGCAGCTACCTGGGAAGCTGACACAGGAGAATCTGACACCACTTGAACCTAAGAGGTGAGGATGCAGTGGCCACTGCACTCCAGCATGGATGACAGAATGAAACTGTCTCAAAAAAAAAAAAAAAAAAAGAGAGAGAGAGATTGAGAGAAAGAAGGCCAGGCAGAGTGGTTCACGCCTGTAATTCCAGCACTTTGGGAGGCCACAGCAGAACTGCTTGAGCCCAGGAGTTCAAGACCAGACTGGGCAACATAGCGAGACCCCCACCTCTACCAAAAAGAAAATTTTTTTAAGTTTTCCCCATGGTGATATATGCCTGTAGCCCCAGCAACCTGGGAAACTTAGGTGGGGGACCTCTTGAGCCCAAGAGGTCAAGGCTGCAGTGAGCTGTGATCACACCACTGCACTCTAGCCTAGGTAACAGAGTGAGACTCTTCCTATAAAAGAAAAAGAAGGGAGGAAAATTTGTGTGAGTCAGAGAGGTAAAAAGAGAACCAGAATAAGTAGGGCCTTCTAAATCACAGTAAGCACTTTGGCTTTTACTCTGAGTAAGATGGGAAGACATTGGAGAGTCTGAGTAGAAAAAGAGCATGATCTGACCTTTAATGTGATTACTCTGAATACTGTTTTAATATGATTACACTGGATATGATATGATTTACTCTGTTTTAATATGATTAATCCGGATACTGGGTTAAGAACAGACTACAGGGTAGTGGAGTGGGGGATATGGGGACAGGGACAGGAAGTAGAACAACTATCAAGAGGATGTCGCTAACAATCCAGACAAGAGATGTTGTAACTTGAACCAGGATTTTTTTCTACCTTATCACTGGATGGTGAGGGGAAACAGAATTCCCAAGGCATCCTAGGTTGGGTCCCAGGAGGGCATTCTAAGAATATACAGTAGTAGTTCTGGTACAGAAATGAGTAAAGGTTAAGATTGGGGATAGAGAAGGAGAATGTCAATTGTGGAAGCCTAGAAGTTCAGCAAATAAGAAGGGAATATCATCCCCAGGACAGAGTAGCACAAATATATTTTATTGTGTTGTGAGTATGGTCTAACTGATGGATAACAATAAGAATCAAAAGACATTCCTCAAACCAATACTTGCCCAGTTTTTCTTTACAACTATATTTAAGATCAGGGTTTGTACCCAAAGAATAAATGTCTTAAGATGCACTTAACACGGCCATGTGTGGTAGTCCTCGCCTGTAATCCCAACACTTTGGGAGGCAGAGGCAGGTGGATCACCTGAAGCCAGGGATTTCAGACCAGCCTGGCCAACATGGTGAAACCCCACCTCTACAAAAATACAGAAACTAGCCAGGCATGATGGCAGATGCCTGTAATCCCAGCTCAGGAGGCTGAGGCAGGAGAATGGCTTGAACCTGGGAGGTGGAGGTTGCAGTAAGCTGAGATCATGCCATTGTACTCCAGCCTGGGCAACAGAGCGAGACTCAGTCTCAAAAAAAAAAAAAAAAAAAAAAAAAAAGGGCCAGGCACAGTGACTTACACCTGTAATCCCAGAACTTTCAGAGGCCAAGGCAGGTAGATCACGAGGTCAGAAGATCAAGACCATCCTGGCCAACATCCTGGCCGTCTCTACTAAAATACAAAAAGCTAGCCAGCCATGGTGGCGTGCACCTGTAGTCCCAGCTACTCAGGAGGCTGAGGCAGGAGAATCACTTGAACCTGGGAGGCAGAGGTTGCAGTGAGCCAAGATCACACCACTGCACTCTAGCCCGGCGACAGAGCAAGATTCCATATCAAAAAAAAAAAAAAAAAAAAAAAAAGATGCACTTAACACAAAGTGGAAAACAAATGCTAGAGAAGAATTAAAACTTAGGTGTAATTAGAAGAAACACTGCCATCTCAGCTGATATGAAACTGCATTCTGGCACAAACCTAAAGCAACAACAAAAAAAAAACTGTTCAAAAATCACTTACATTAATAATATTTCACACTGATAGACTATTCCATAGCTATTTGACTAAAAGTTCCATTAAAGACTATTAGAATTGTAATGATATTAAACAGGGTTAGAGTCATTGACACAGGCTCAAATCCTGGCTCCACCTCCCACACCCTTTCTACACCCTCTGCGACTTTACACAAGTTACTTAACCTCTGCATTAAGTTTTGGTTTCCTAATCTGCATAGCTCATAGAGTTGTGAGGATTGCTTGAGATAAAGCTTGTCTGATGTGCAGCATATAGTAGTGCTTAGAAGTAATACAAACAGCTGTAGTGGTAGTATAGATATCTGCTTTAGAAGAAAAGCAAAAGAAACCAAAATTTAAAGCTCATCAGTAGGAAATAATTGCTCCATCATGAAGTACTTTTCCAGACTACAAAGAATCTAAGAACTTTCAGGAAGGCTCTTAGGCCAGGGCTAACACTAAAAATAAATTCTACATCTCGAAACACTTCAAACAGTATAGAGGCAGTGGACAGACACCTCTATGATATGATTTGTGAGATACCAAGATGGTCCGATTTAAAAAAAAAAAAAATCAGTCTGCCACAGCTTCCTAGTATCTAAATCACATTTTAAGCAGTAGTTTCACAGGGTAGCAGAGGAAAAAAACAGAGTATTTTGGCCTAAGGTTTTTGCCGTCTGTTTAAATTCCCAAGTACCCATCCAGGGAAGAATAACACATTAATCTTTATATTATTTTTTTATTTTCTTTTTTTTAAACTAGAGCCAAATGTCAGCTTATCCAAGATTTAGCTGTTACTCTGAATACAGTTAGCACACCTCTTTCAGAGCTAGATTCAGAATCAGGTGGAGGAAAGGGAAACAGCCGGTTCTAAGAGTGTGAGGTAACAAGACACAATCAAAGGAAAGGGGAGGAAAAGCAGAGAACAAAGAAGGGAATCCCTGCATGGTTCTCTTTCCAGACCCATGCTTGATTAAATCAGAAGTCTCCTCTCCTGTCTCTGTCTGTTCTGTTTATTCTGGAAAGTAGATAGACAAGCGGAGGGGCAGTAGGATAAAAGAAGCTTGAGGCATCCTCTATCCTAGCAGCTATTAACTACAGTAGCCCCTCAATAACAAAAGGGATTGGTTCCAGGAGGCTCCACAGACATCAAAACCCAGAGATGCTAAGTCTCTTACATTAAAATGGTGTACAGTATGTATATATCTGCATATAATCTATATGCATTCTCCCGTATACTTTGAATCATCTCCAGATTTACTTACTGTAGTAGTATACAATAAGTTATTATAGTATATTATTTAGGGAATAATGACAAGGGAAAAAAAGGCTACAGATGTTCAGTACAGACACAGCTATACTTTTTTTTCCTGCTTATTGTCTATGCAAGTTTGGTATCATCCATGGATGCATAGCTCACAGATATAGAGAGCCAACTGGAACTAGAGAGGTACCGTACCCATTGTCCAGAGAGCCAATTTGGGGTGCAGGAAGTGAAAGGTAGAGACAACTATGCACTTGCTCACTGCCTCTAGATGCAAGAGCATTCTCTAACGGGTACTATAATCAGGGAACACAAGACCTATTTTCAGATGTATGGATGGGCAGTCTAACCTAAAGGGAATGTTCACAGCCTATGTCAGAATGTCAGTTTCACGAGACGAAAGGAGTTCTGGAGATCGGATGCACAACAATGGAAGTGTACTTAACACTACTGAACTGTATACTTAAAAATGGATAAGATGGTAAATTTTATGTTACATGTATCTTATCATAAATTATTTCAAAATTTTTAACTCCTTTGTCATCTGGGGGCTTAGGAGAAAAACAGGATGGACCCTAACACCCTTTGGCAAAATGAAAGAACAAGGCCTGGAGCAGTGGCTCACGCCCGTAATCCCAGCACTTTGGGAGGCTAAAGTGGGTAAATCTTGAGGTCAGGAGATCAAGACCAGCCTGGCCAAGATGGTGAAACACCATCTCTACTAAAAATACAAAAATTAGCCAGGTGTGGTGGGCACCTGTAATCTCAGCTATTCAGGAGACTGAGGCGTTAGAATCGCTTGAACCCTGGAGACGGAGGTTGCAGTGAGCCGAGATCGCACCACTGCACTCCGGCCTGGGTGACAGAGTGAGACTGGGTCTCATAAAAAAAAAAAAGAGAGAGAGAGAGGGAGAGAGAGAGAGAACAAGTTGCTGACCAACAAACCCTCACATGGCATTTAGAGAGGTATTTAAAAACAAATCATTAAAGTTTTAAGGACATTACTTTTCAGCCTGGAGCTGTTCTTTCTTCTGCTTTAAATCTTCTTCTGTTATCCCTCCCAAGTGTTTATAGTTGCTCTCGGCAATTTCCAGGAGATGTCTCAATTCTACAATTTTCTTATAAGCTCTCACTGCAAGACAGAGTCCAACAGGAAACTGGTTAGACACCTAACAGCTCATGCGTCCACTGGGTACTGGTCTTCTCGAGCATATTCTTCCTCTAGACTAGTGTCTGTATGGTTTGGAGATGGGGGTGGAGGAAGAGTGGTATATACAAAGAAGGATAAATATCAGTAACAGAATACTAAAATGAACGTGCAATGAAATACCTAAATGGAGGATTCTCTCCCTGCTATTGTAGCATGTATCAGGTTGTTACGACTATTAATGCTATGAAAAAGAAGGTTTTAAAAGACTAGCAGCATTGGCCAGGCATGGTGGCTCACGCTTATAATCCCAACACTTTGAGAGGCCGAGGCAGGTGGATCAGCCAAGGTCAGGAGTTACAGATTAGCCTTGCCAACATGGTGAAACCAGGGAGGCAGATGTTGCAATGAACCGAGACTGTGCCACTGAACTCCAGCCTGGGCAACAGAACAAGACTCCATCTCGAAAAAAAAAAAAAAAGACTAGCAGTATTGTAGGACTAATGATAGATTACAGGACCATGCACGATCTACTATATATCAGAAAATTAGAAAAACTGAAATATGCTTGATTACTTTAAAGTAAACCAGAACTAACCCATCCACAAATTTTGTGGTCACTTATAGCACTTATGTAAGAGGAAACTAAGAGAACAAAGTATGTGGAGAGTTATTTTGAACTATTCTTCAACTATCAGAACTATGATTTTTTCCAGCCTTTATGGCAATGGTTCTCTACCTGGGGTGATTTTCTCCTCCAAGGGTCATTTGGCAACCTCTGAAGAAATTTCTGCTTGTTACAGCCTGGGAGTGGGAACAGGGAGGTGCTACCGGCATCTAGTAGGTAAAGGCTCAGGATGCTCCTAGACACCTCACAGTGCACAGAAAAGTCTGCCTCAACAAAAATAATTATCTGGTACAGAATGTCAAAAGTATAGAAGGTGAGAAACTGCTTTACAGGACCAACTTAGCAAATCACAGCCTCTTCTTCTTAACACCTGTGATTTATCTATCAACAGGTTAGAGCTACAGGTTCTAAACTGCATACACCAGAATCAAACGGGATGCTTTTTAAAAATGCATGTGCTTGAGCCCCATTCCAGACCTACCAAGTTCAAGAATATGTATTTAATAAAAGCTCCTCGGCTAGGCGCGGTGGCTCATGCCTGTAATCCCAGCACTTTGGGAGGCCGAGGGGGCAGATCATTTGAGGTCAGGAGTTTGACACCAGTCTGGCCAACATGTTGAAACCCTGTCTCTACTAAAAATACAAAAATTATTTGGGTGTGGTGGCACATGCCTGTAAATCCCAGCAACCTGGGAGATGTAGGTTGCAGTGAGCCAAGGTCATGCCACTGCAGTGACACTCTGTCTAAAGGAAGAAAAAAAAAAGTTCCTCAGACAATTCTAAAGGGCAGACATGTTTGGGAACCACCATAACCATTAGCAAGAAGGTAGAGGGGAATTAAGATTAAAAATGTCAGAAAAGACTGAAAGAGCAGTGGGTATTTAGCTTAATAATAATTTCTTTAATATTTGAAATTATATGTTTCACAAGGCCTGTTCTATGAGGTCCTCAGAGGTAAGAATTAATATTAATTGGGGAATTAGCTCCAGGAAGAAAGATTTCAATTCAACAAAGGAGAAAATTTCCAGTGAAAACAATAAAAATGATCATGTATTTATGCAGTGCCTATAATGTCAAGACACTACACTAAATACCTTATACATTTTAATCCTCACAGAGAAGAAATGCTTTTCAAAAGAAGACATACACAGAGCCAACAAGCATATGAAAAATATGCTCAACATCAGTAATCATTAGAGAAATGCAAATCGAAACCACAAGGAAATGCCATCTCACGTCAGTCAGAATGGCTATTAATAGAAAGTCAAAAAACAACAGATGCTGGAAGGTTGTGGAGAAAAGAGAACATTTATACACTGCTGGTGGGAGAGTAAATTCGTTCAACCATTGTGGAAAGCAATTTGGCAACTTCTCAAAGAACTCAAAACAGAATTAGCACATGACCCAACAACCCCACTATTGGTACATACCCAAAGGAATATATATCATACTATATTCATACTATATACTATCTTTATACTATAAAGACAGATGCACATAAACATACACATGCCAAAAACATGGATTCAACCTAAATGTCCATCAACAGAAGACTGGATAAAGAAAATGTGGTGCGACTGGGCAAGGTGGCTCATGCCTGTAATCCCAGCACTTTGGGAGGCCAAGGTGGGCAGATCACAAGGTCAAGAGTTTGAGACCAGCCTGACCAACATGGTGAAACCCCGTCTCTACTAAAAATACAAAAGTTAGCCGAGCATGGTGGCGCATGCATATAATCCCAGCTACTCAGGAGGCTGAGGCAAGAGAATTACTTGAACCTGGGAGGCAGAGGTTGTAGTGAGCTAAGATCATACCATTGCACTCCAGCCTGGGCAACAGAGAAAGGAAGACAGGAAGATGCGAAGAAAGAAAAAAGAAAAGAAAAGAAGGAGGGAGGGAGGGAGGGAGGGAAGGAAGGAAGGAAGGAAGGAAGGAAGGAGAGAAAGAAAGAGAGAAAGAGAGGGACAGAGAGAGAGAGAGACAGAGAGAAAAAGAAAGAATAGAATAGAATAGAATAGAATAGAATAGAATAGAAAATGTGGTACATATACACCATGGAATACTATGCAGCCATAAAAAATAACAAGATCATGTCCTTTGCAGCAGAATGGATGGAGCTGGAGGTCATTATCCTAAGTGAACTAACAAAGGACCAAAAACAACAACAAAAAAATAAATACATGTTCTCAACTTATAAGTGGGAACTAAACATTGAGTACACATGGACCCAAAGAAGGGAACAACAGATACCAGGGTCTACTTGAGGTTAGGAGAAAGGGTAGGATTGAAAAATTACCTTTTAAGTACTATGCTTATTACCTGGGTGACAAAATAATCTGTACACCAATCCCCATGACATGCAACCTACCTATATGACAAACCTGCACATGTTCCCCTGAACCTAAAAGAAAAGTTAAAAAGAAAAGAAAAGAAAATCCCTACGGGAACTCTGCCAAAGATGGAAATAACTTCCCTGGGCAATAATAAATGTCTTATCACTTACAGTGACTAAGTGGAGACTATATGACATGCGACAGAAATGCTAAGCCAGCAAACTTCAAATGGTTATAGGGTTCTACGATACCATGGCCTAAATATAATTCACTGAAAAATGCTGTGAATTCAGGCTCAGTTCCAGGAAGTCTAAAAGGACAAGAAATCCAACTAGTTCCCTATAGGTGCTCTGACAAAATCTAGTGTCCCAAGAAGTGACCATCTAATATTTCAGATTTTGCCCTGGAATAAAATTAAGGAGGGATAAAAAAACAGCACACAACTTTATATATAGTAATCCCTTTACCAGCTGCAAGCACCCAGCTGGGTGCAAGTGGTACTCACTATACAGCAAAGGTGCTGAGAGCTCATTTGTATCAAGCACACCACAACAGAAAACTGTTCTAGTCATATTCTTGGTCTTTTCTGAAACATCTTTTTGAAATTTCTTGATCCCCCAACAAAAATCCCCCTCACAAATACCTCAAACTCGAATAATGTCAGAAGAAACTGAAATCTTACAAAATCAAGTGCTCATGTTCTACAGTTCTAAGTCTTTGCTCATTCTTAATGCAACCAACAAAAGAAATTTCAGCATAGACCAGGCACACATGCCTGTAATCCCAGCACTTTGGGAAGCCAAGGCAGGTGGGTCATCTGAGTTCAGGAGTTGAAGACCAGCCTGGGCAACATGGTGAAAATCCCATCTCTACCAAAAATACAAAAAACTAGTCAGGTGTGGTGGCACATGCCTACAGTCCCAGCTATTTGAGAGGCTGAGGTGTGAGGATCACTTGAGTCTGGGAGGCAAAGGTTGCAGTGAACCAAGATTGTGCCACTGCACTCCAGCCTAGGTGACAAAGTGAGGCTCTGTCTCAAAAAAAAAAAAAAAAAAAAATCTCAGCATAAGCAACAAAATACAAGTAGGTACACTGTACCGAAATTTAAAACTTTTAAGCTTCAAATAGTAACAAGAACGTTAAAAGACAACCCACAATATGGGGAGAGAATATCTGCAAATCATGTATCCAAAAAGGGTCTTGTATACAGAAGTCCTTTTACAACTCAAAAATAACTCAGGTGAAAAACAGGCAAAGGATTTGAGTAGACTTTCCTCCAAGGAAGATACATTAAGCATCAATGGGCATGTGAAAACATACTCAACATTATGAATCATTACGGAAACACTATCAAAACTGCAGTAAGATACCACTTCACACCCAATAAAATGACTATAATCAATAAATGAAAACAAATGTTGGTTAGGATCTGGAAAAATTGTGATACTCATATGTAGCTGGTAGGAAGGTAAATGGTGCAGCCACTTTGGAAAACAGTTTGGCAGTTTCTAAGAATGTTAAACGTAGGAGTTCTCAGATGACCCAGCAATTCTACTTCTAGGTATATACCTAAAAGAAAAGAAAACCTATGTCCACACAAAAAATGTACACATGAATGTTTACAGCAGCATTATCCATAATAGCCAAAATGCAGATACAGCTCAAATGTCGATTAGCTGATGAATGGATATATAAAGTGTGGTATATTCATACAAGAATTATATTTGACAATAAAAAGGAATGAAATACTAATCCATGCTACAGTTTATATGAACCTTGAAAACATTAGGTTAACTGAAAGGAAACGCCACATATTCTATTCAAATAAAGTATCTACAATCAGCAATTCTATAGAGGCAGAAAGTAGATTAGCAGTTACCCAGAAGAGTCAATGGGCATGTGGAAACATACTCAACATCATTAATCATTACAGTACAACTAGTTCTTTTTGCCAGAGTAACAGTTGGAGAGAAGGTGGGGTGGGGTAATGGGGATGATGTTTCTTTGTAGGGTGACAAAAATGACATAAAATTGGCCAGGCACGGTAGCTTATGCCTGTAATCCTAGCACTTTGAAAGACCAAGGCAAGCAGATCACTTGAGGCCAGGAGTTCAAGATCAGCCTGGTCAACATGGCGAAACCATATCTCTATTAAAAATGAAAAATTACCTGGGCTGAAGGTGTACACCTGTAATCCTAGCTACTCAGGTAGCTGAGGCACAAGAGTCACTTGAACCCGGGAGGCAGAGATTGCAGTGAGCCGAGAATACACCACTGAACTCCAGCCTGGGAGACAGAGCAAGACTGTGTCTCAAAAAAAAAAAATAAATAACAGACATAACATTGATTATAGTAATGCTTAACAAATCTGTGAATATACTAAAAACCACCCAATTGTATGTCTAAGTAATAATACATGAATCATATCTCAATCAATAAAGCTATTTAAAATAAAGCTGTCAGGAAATCCTGAAAGAATCATTAACTCTGAGCCTCACTGCAGTGTGATCCGGGTGGGCTGTTGGTTAAGAACCCCTGACATCAGCATCTTCAGGTTTTCCTTTGGTTACATTCATCAGGGAAGAGGCTTCCACTCTACCCCAGAGAGTGAAGTATTGCCTGACAATGTTCTGAGGACTTTTCTTTTTTTTTTAATTAGAAAATAAATCTAGACCTAAATCAGAAAATTTCCTTAGAAAATACAATTTTGGTACAACTAGTTCTTTTTGCCAGAATAACTGACACTCTCCAGCAACCAAGAGGAAGGGAACTCACACTTCCTGAGCCTCTATGATAAGTTAGGCGCTTCCCATTCTCCAGTGTACTAATTTAATCCTTGTAACATCTGTTAGGGTGACATGATATTATATTCTCATTTTTACAGATAAAGAAACTGAGGCTCAGAAAGTAACACAGATAGAAAAGTGGTGAAGTTCTAACATCTGAATCCAGTACCTGAGCTTTTTTCACTCACTGGGGCTGCCTTTGACTTGGTTAGCCTCAGTTCAAGCATATCCTCACCTCACTTCTATCAAAGAGCTCCACTGAAACAGTTCTTCTCAACCATTAGTACAAACCATGGCTCTCTTGACCAAATACCATTAGAAGCAAAATTCAGGGCCGGGCGCGGTGGCTCAAGCCTGTAATCCCAGCACTTTGGGAGGCCGAGGCAGGTGGATCACAAGGTCAGAGATCGAGACCATCTTGGTCAACATGGTGAAACCCCGTCTCTACTAAAAATACAAAAAAAAAATAGCTGGGCATGGTGGTGCGTGCCTGTAATCCCAGCTACTCGGGAGGCTGAGGCAGGAGAATTGCCTGAACCCAGGAGGCGGAGGTTGCAGTGAGCCGAGATCGCGCCATTGCACTCCAGCCTGGGTAACAAGAGCGAAACTCCGTCTCAAAAAAAAAAAAAAAAAAAAAAAAAGAAGCAAAATTCAGATTGCTCATGGTATGAAAATATTCCTCTTAGGAGGCAATGTGTGTGCTGGCAAGAGCTCTATATAGGGAAGCCCAAAAGCCTTGCTTCTAGTTGCTGTGTGACTTTGGACAAGTAACTTAGCTGTGTGACTTTGGACAAGTAACGAATCTCAATCTCCTTATCTATCAAATGAGGATACTATACTAAATGAGTGTTTTTTGAGATAGAAAACAGAGATATTTTCAGGTGCACTAGCTCACACTTGTAATCCCAGCATTTTAGGAGGCCAAGGCAGGTGGATCACCTCAGGTCAGGAGTTGGAGACCAGCCTGGCCAACATGGTGAAACCCTGTATCTACTAAAAATACAAAAATTAGCCAAGCATGGTGGTGGGTACCTGTAATCCCAGCTCCTTGGGAGGTGGAGGCAGGAGAATCGATTGAACCCAGGAGGCAGAGGTTGCAGTGAGCCAAGATTGTGCCACTACACTCAAGCCTGGGCAAAGGAGTAAAACTTTGTCTTAAAAAAACACAAACAGATGTTACCTGCCTTATACGCTTACTGTGAATAATGTACATGGAAGTGTTCTATAAACTATAAAATACTACTGAAATATAAACCATTTTGTTAGGATTTTGAGGAACAAAAATTCCAGTAGGAAAGTTACATGCCAGTAGCCAAGCCAGCAAAAATTCTACAGAAATTAAAATTTCCTCCAATTACTAGACTTCAATTTAGTTTCAATATGTTCATATAATATAATAAACATAAAACTATGATAAGCCAGCGTCCTGCTGCCTCTCAGAAATCCATTTGCATGAAACCACATGTCTCCTTGAGAGAAAGCACTCCTACTTTTACTCACTGACTAATTTGGAACACAGGTCATATCCACTTGCTATGAACTGAATGTGTCTCCCCAGAATTCATATGTTAAGCCCTAAACTCCAATGTGATGGTGTTTGGAGAGGGGAGGGTTTGGAAGGTAATTAGAGTTAGATGACATGAGGGTAGGGCCTTAGTCCCATGGGATTAGTGTCCTTATAAGAAGAGAAACCAGAGTTTTCTCACTCCCCCATGTGAGGACATAAATCTATCAAAGTCAGAAAGACAGCCCTCACCAGAAACCAATCCTACCAGACTTTGATCTGGGACTTCCAGCCTCTACAACTGTGAGAAAATAAATTTCTGTTGTTTAAGCCACTCAGTCTATGGTATTTTACTATGAAAGTCCAGGCATACTAAGACAATATTCAATGGAAAACAGACTGTCCTTCAGATGACAATTATGAAAAATTAAATTTGGAGCATACATGTCTCCATAATGCAATTAGTATGAAAGAAAAAAGTAAAAATTATAAAACTGTTTTAGAAAATCCCACTAACAAATATGGTAGGTTATTAATCTTGTTGTCATGGAACTCAAAGAGCAGATAATCAATACTTTCACAGCCTTAAACAATTTAAAAATCGAACCAGTTTAGGAATAAGCAAATATGGAGAAATCATTTATCTGTTTACCAATGTAACCCTTGAACCTAGAATAGTGCCTGACACATAACAGATACTCAATAAATACGTGTTGAATGATGGCAAAGAAAGAACTGACAATGTACAATTTCAGTGACTACTTTTAGTACTATCTTGAGCAGGTTCAGAATGTTTTCTGAATTCCAGAAAGCAGGACTATTTCTGATGCACTGCCCTATTCCGTAGCCCAGGGCTGTGCACACAGTAAATATTCAAATATGAGTTGGATGAAGAAAAACAAAGCGAATCAAATATGTGTTGGATGAATGGAATGTTCCTTATCCATTTTGCCTATCAAAATCCTGGCCACCCTTCAAGACAAGCCAAATTCTACTTCTGAAAAGCCTTCCTGCTCCTCTGTCCTAAATGAATAGTTATTTTAAACTTACTACCCTTCACCAAATTCCCCAAGCCAGAAATCTAAGTCACCCTTGATTATCTTCTTTCTCTTTAACACCTCATAGCCACATCTATCAGCAAATCCTAAAAGACTGAAGTGAAGCAAAACAAGAAGTGAGATGTCCAATGTCACTCTTAGTTACGAGCCTACATCAGGAAACTCTAGGAGCCCAGGAAATCTGTGCAGATATTCTACATCTGTTCTTGCACAATTCTAATTTAGTATCCTTGGAATCAGGATATAATTGTATCAGGAAGTTCATTCACCCTTATATGGTTAGGTGGAGTTCGTTCTTTTCCCATCTAATTCATACCCCATCTGAAATGCTATGCTCTTTTCCACCTCCCAGTCTATCATTCACAGAACAGATAGAGTGATACTGCTTTTAAACATGAATAAGATCACATCATTCTCCACTCTGAACTGCAACAATGGCTTTCTATTTAAAATAAAATCTATATGCTGAGATTTTGTAATGAAAAAAGGGAAAAAATGAACAAATAAAATAAAAATCTAAATCTAAAATGCTTATCAGCATTTGATCTGACCTATATGATCTGACTGGTCCCTGAGGACCCTTCAAAACTATCTTTTGCCACTTCCTTAGGGATTCTACTCTAGCCACACTGACCATTCCCAATACTACATAATGACCTTTACATGCACTGTTCCCTCTGCTGGCATGTTCTTCCAAGATCTTCATAGGACTCATTCTCATCACCCAGGTCTCTCCTCAAACATCACCACCACAGAGAGGCCTAATGATTGTCTTATCTATAGCACCACTCTATTTTCTTTATATAACTATTTTCTTATCAATTACTTATCACCTTCCCTCCTGACTACCACTACTCAAATGAAGTTCCTTTGTATTGTTCACCATTACTTTAATAACTAGAACAGTGTCTGGCACATAGTAGACAATAAATATTTGTTGCTATTATTATCTATAGTGATCATTTGCCAACTAACCATGGCAATCCTTGAGATGTTTCTTTCCCTGTTCCCTTGAGCTACTGAAGAAAATACTTAAATATTTTCTTATATTACTTTCCATTCCCTGAGGGACAGAGACTATGTCTCACACTTTTTATATATTCAACAACCCTAGTACAAAAACTTATATTAGTTGTGGTTCCTCCAAAAATATCAAGTTATTTGACTTTGTAGGCAATATTTGTCTTCATAATAATTTCCAAATTTGTGGCAAAAAAAAAATGCTACGGGCAGGGCGCAGTGGCTCAAGCCTGTAATCCCAGCAATTTGGGAGGCCAAGGCAGGTGGATCACAAGGTCAAGAGATCAAGACCATCCTGGTCAACATGGTGAAACCCCATCTCTACTAAAAATACAAAACATTAGCTGGGCATGGTGGCACGTGCCTGTAATCCCAGCTACTCAGGAGGCTGACGCAGAAGAATTGCCTGAACCCAGGAGGCGGAGGTTGCGGTGAGCCGAGATCACGCCATTGTACTCCAGCCTGGGTAATAAGAGTGAAACTCTGTCTCAAAAAAAAAAAAAAAAATTGCTACGGTACTTCTGAAAGGATAAATCACAACAGAGGCAGCATACTTACTTCTGGCATCTGTTTTATCCGAGTCACTCAGACATAAATCATCCTTGGCATCAGTGCTTCCCTCAACACCATGTCTTATAAAAAACTTCACATCATTTTCATCAATTTCATTCTCTTCATCTATATCATATTTCTGTAGCCCCTCTAATAGCTTCACTGCTGCCAAATGGGCAAACCTGTAGAAGAGAATCAATAAATTAATCAGATTCATAATCTTCTTCAAATTGGAACTGCAGCTTGCATTTAACTTAGGGAATTACACTCTGTACACTCTGTCACCAGTGCACTGATCAGCCAAGGAGCCAATATCTGAAGGTCAGTGACAATTTCACATATATTCAACTATGTGAGAAACTCAGTTACTTGGCACTAAGGACAAGTATTCGTATTAAACACTGATTCCATAATTTTTATTGGTAAAAACACACTGGGAATGGAGATCCAATATCAAAATAGTATGTGTTATGCTCTCAAGCACACTCAACTGAATAGAGGACCAGAACCACCCTCCTTGATTACTTATAGTTATTGCCTCTTCTTGGCCTAATTTAGATCATAGAATTTATTTTCATTCCAGTTTTAGGGCTAACTAGTAATATAGCTCTAGACCCTTCTATCTCCATCTTTCCTCAAGCCAAACCATTTGGTATGGCTTTGAAATTTAATTTTAATAAATGACCCTTCCATTCACGTTTTCTAATTCTCCTTAATCTTCCCCACATTTCTATGAAGATTCCAGTAATGTACTCTTGGTTTTGGAGTTGTTATTGTGATTGTATATAATCTGCATATTTTCCACAATTTTGCCAACTGGAATTTTTAATCTATTTTCTTAGGACTTGAAGAATTACTCACTAAACACAAAAACCTTAAATCCTATTTTCTCATACTTACATAACCAAACACATACATTACCTCCTACCCCAGGTACTGCAAATCATTAAAGACACAGTAATAAACATATGCAGGAAGTTGTAAGGTTTACAGAATTCATTATCTCTACTAGGTTGTAATTTAACAGCTGTCATTTACTGAGTGCTTACATTATGCTAGATTCAAGCTTATCTCTAAAATAACAGTACACCCACATCAAGCATTTTGTTACATGAGAAAAAAATGTGGACCAGAAATTATTGAAAACTTCAGACATGCCCACAGTACTCAATCACCTATATGACACCGATGCAAAAATACACAAATAGACCAATGGACAAAATAGTTCAGAATTAAGCCCGCACATGCATCGACAACTGATTTTTACAAAGACACAAAGGCAGTGGAGAAAGAATAGTCATTTAAACAAATAGTCTAGAACTAGATATCCATATGCAGAAAAAGAACTTGGACTCGTACTTCCTATCATATATAAAAACTAACTCAAAATGACCACAGACCTCAATATAAAAGCTAATACTATATAACTTCTAAAAGAAAACATAAAAGAAATTTTTCATGACTTTGTGTTAATCAGACTTCTTTAGATATGACACCAGAATCATAATCCATAAAAGGATAAATTAGCAAGAAATTTTGCTCTTCAAAGACACTAAGATAATGAAAAAACAAGATACAACTGGTAAAAAGGAAAAATCTTTGCAAAGTATATATCTAAGAAAGAACTAGTATCCAGAATATACAAAGCACCTTTAAAACTCAATATCAAGAAAACAATTCAATATTTGAAGCAGGCAAAAGATCTGAATAATCACTTCATTGAAGAAAATATAAAGATGGCAAGTATGTATATTTAAAAAATGCTCAAATTCATTTTTCATTAGAAAAATGCAAATTAAAACCACAATGAGATACCACTACATACCTATTTCATTACTAGAATTTAAAAAAGACCCTGACAATACCAAATGATGGTAAGAATGTGGAACAACAGAAATTGACATCCATTGCCGGTAGAAATGCAATTTATTTTGTTTTATTTTTTTTGAGAGTCTAGCTCTGTCACACAGGTTGTAGTGCAGTGGTACAATCTCAGCTCACTACAACAACCTCTGCCTACCGGATTCAAGCAATTTTTTTTCTCCTGCCTCAGCCTCCCAAGTAGTAGCTGGGACTACAGTGGGACTACACGTGCACACCATCATGCCCAGGTAATTTCAGTAGAGATGAGTTTTCACCACATTGGCCAGGCTGGTTTCGAACTCATCTCAAGTGATCCACCTGCCTTGGCCTCCCAAAGTGCTGGGATTGTAGGTGTGAGCCACTGCGCCCAGCCCCTAGAAATGCAAATCTGTATAGCCACTTTGGAAGGCACTCTGGCAATTTCTTATAAAGTTAAACATACACTTAGCATATAGTCCAGCACTCCTACTCATAGATTTACCCAAAGAACTGAAAACATGTTAACACATAAACCTGTTTATGAATGTTTATAGAGGTTTTATTCATAATCATCAAAAAATGATACAATCAAGATGTACTTCAAATCTGTGAGTGGATAATTTAATTATGGAATACTATGAAATTCTACTCATCGTTAGAAGGAAATGAACTGCTAATACACATAGATGAATCTCAAAATAATTATGTTGAGTGAAAGAAGCCAGACATAAATATATATTGTATGATTCCATTTATATAAATCTCTAGAAAATGCAAACTATCTATAGTAAGAGGAAGCAGATCAGTGTTTTGTTTGCTTGGCCACACTGGGGAGCAGTCAAAGGGAGAGACATTATAAAGTGGCAGGAGACTGAGGGTGATGAAGATGTTCACTATCTTAACTGTGAAAATTGTTTCACAGGATATTCATATATTAAAACTCAGTTGTACTGTACAAATATATGCATTTTATAGTATGTCAATTATACCCTGATAAAGCTATTTTAAAACAATAAAACAGACCTGAGTGATCCCAGGTACATGGAACAACAAAACCACACTCCAAGGCATCAAAGAAATTCCATAAACAAATTTTGGGGGAACATCAGCTCACAAACAAAAGTTCCATGGCAACTTAGCAAATGATTGGACCACAGTATATCGTCAAACCTCATATGCTATTGTTAGCCCACATTCCTGCTTTAGATTTCAGCCTTCTAATCCCCATGCAGTTCCTCAAACATACAAGGTGTTGTCTTACAACTCCTTCTTACATTTACACTTATGCTTACAAGCATCAACATAAATGTTGTTTCCACAAAATTTTACCTCTATCTAAATTGTCCCCATGCAGTTTCCTCCATAACTTTTACCAACCTCTGTATTAAAGTTCTCTCTTACAACTTTCAAACAGAACGACTTTCTATGTTCTCAGTGTACCTTACACATATACCATGTGATATTGTACAATAATTAGAATTAGGCCAGGCACGGTGGTTCATGCCTGTAATCCAAGCACTTTGGAGGCCAAGGCAGGCAGATCACCAGAGGTCAGGAGTTCAAGACCAGCCTGACCAACATGGTGAAACCATGTCTTTAAAAAAGAAAAAAAAATTTGAAAAAAAAAAAATTAGAATTAATAAGAATTTTATTTGCATATTTGTCTCTCCACAAGCTCCTTGAGGGCAGTGACTGTGTTTTCTCCCCTTTGCATTTCTACCACTAATCACACAACTTGGAACAAGGTAAGTACGTGGAAAGGTGATTGACAGAACAACCACATGAACAAACAGATGGACTACATATTTCTTGAGAACCTAACTCAAATGAGTTGGCTATGTTTAATAAAACATGCTACATTTAATTCAGATGTAAATACCAAAATATGTTTCAAAACCCATGTGATTTATTTTTCTATTATTAATGTTGACTATTTCTTTTTTCACACAGCATTTCTTAACAGGCAATGCCACAGGCATTTGGATGGGACAATTCATCATGCATTACTATCCTGAGCACTGCAGAACATTTAGCATTCCTAGACCTAACCTCCAGTTAGTGAAGGTCTCCAGTCATTGCGACAACCCTCCCCCACGTTTCCAAATACCCCTCCCTCCAAGGAAAGGGTATAATACTACCTCCCAGTTGAGAATTACTGCTTTAGAAAGAAAAACTGATATAATGACAGCTGTAACTTCAGCCTGAAAACTGTCATTGCATCTGTATTTAACTGAGTCCTCTAAGATTTCATTAAAAATCTTCAGAGATTTTTGGGTGCAAGAAAGTATATGCAAAACTTTAAAAACAAAAGAAAAGAGTAAAGAAGACAGATTTATACCTCTTTGCCACATCACTGGGTCTCTCCCCTGCTTTGTTGGTAATATTACTGTCTGCTCCCATTTTAATCAACCACTGCAAACACTCGATGTGGCCTTGTCCAGCAGCTGTTCAAAAGAGGGAAAAAAAAGTTATTAGTAACAATTTTCTAAAATTTTGGACAGTACCATTATAGAGTACTTACTTGAGTGTTGATACAGTAAGTGGAAAAAGTACGCTGGGAAAATGTTATTTTCTCTATTTCATTTACTGATTCCTTAGACAAACATTTAATCAACTGTGCTTAGGCCCCATACAGATAATTTTACATATGGATATAAAAGTTGAAGTTCAAAAAGGTTATTTACGTATTTATTTAACATCACTCAGATAGTAAGTAGTTTAAAACTAGAATCCAGGCTTTTCTAATACTATCCAGTGATTATCTCCTGCTATAAATAGCTCCTAACCTATCCTGTATTTCACAAGAATGTGAGCACATTCTAACCATATGAACCTACATAGACTTCAAAAAGTCTTGCTTCAGCATTTATCTATATGATAGATGTATGATATACATGCATTCTTCTGAATCTTACAACTCAAAATTTATAGGCCTCTAAAGCCACACCTGATTAATCTAAACTGTTTACCACCTTTGTCTAAATCTTCTCCTCAAAACACATGCTCTCTTTATTAATCGTCACCTTCACAACTCTGCTTATGTGTCTTCCCATCTAAAACCGATCACTCAACAACGTGCTCATTGAACCTGTAACTATTCTTCATTCATCTTGAAATTCAAGGAAGCTGAAGAAAACAAACTGAAGATACTTAAAAGACCTGAGTTTAAGCCTATTAAACAATAAGATGTGAGAACAGTGCTGTAATCTTCAAATCCCCAGAACACAGCAAGTGGCTGCAACATGCAAACCTTTAATAAAGGTCTAAAGAGTTAATAAGTGAATGAATATATTTTAAAAATCAAATCTTAGCTGGGCGTGGTGGCTCACGCCTGTAATCCCAGCACTTTGGGAGGCCGAGGCGGGTGGATCACGAGGTCAAGAGATTGAGACCATCCTGGTCAACATGGTGGAACCCCGTCTCTACTAAAAATACAAAAAATTAGCTGGGCATGGTGGCGCGTGCCTGTAATCCCAGCTACTCAGGAGGCAGAGGCAGGAGAATTGCCTGAACCCAGGAGGCGGAGGTTGCGGTGAGCCAAGATCGCGCCATTGCACTCCAGCCTGGGTAACAAGAGCGAAACTCCGTCTCAAAAAAAAAAAAAAAAAAAAAAAAAAAAAAAAAATCAAATCTTAGCTCTGCTCTTACCAGCTATATAACCTCAGTCAAGCTACCTGACTTCTTTAAACATCAATTTCTTCATCTTTTACACAGATGATTATTTAAAAGCAGAGCACACTGCTGCTTTATAAAATTGCAATAAGGATTAAATGTGATCAGAGCTTTTCATTCTGTTAAGTGGCATATAAATATCAGGTATTATTGCCAAATCCCCATTAACAGTTCCTCAATAATTTGATCCTTAGCAACTTCTTCCACCCCTCAATTCCTATTCCCAAATTCCTATGACAGCTATTTTAACAACCTAATTTATTTTTAGTCATTAATTACATCCTGCCTTAAAAGAAATCTCTGGTCCTTTTATGATGTAATTATGTAACTCTTTAACAGTAAGGTCCAGATCTCATTCTGACTCATAATATAAGAACATGGTTGGTGCTGAATGTGTATACATGACCTTGCAAAATAAATCAAAGAGTAGGAACTTTTGGTATTTCTTTGGTGCCTTAAAAAGTGAACCCACCTCCATTACTGGCAGTGTAGAGGACACAGCAATTCGAGTGACTAAACCATCCAATCACGACAGTCCTACAGCCAAGCTGGCAAAGTCTGTAAGAACCCTTGTTCTGTTGTCCTCTGTCTCAGAGCCATCTGCCAAATTACAAGCTGGCTTCTGCAGAGTCTGGGCTTCTCTCTTTCCCACAGAATCTGAGGCTTCTCTCTCTCCTACAGCCTATCCAGAATCCACTAACACAGAAGCTACTTTCTCATACCTCTATTAATAACTCGACTTAAGACAAAAATGGCAACATATTTTATCTTTTCTGTCATTAAAAGTCACAAAATCAAATTTATGAGCATGGATAATGCTGAATTTTACAAGACAGAATGAAATTAGCCCAACATTTCATTTTATTACATGGAAATGCTTAAAAATGGGAGGAAGGGAGGTTAAGTAATAGATCTACAATGAAATGCAATAAGAGGATTTACCCAAGATTTTTACTAAATATTGATTAGGATATGTTGACTAATTTGACCAATGTTTTACAAGAAACAAGGTAAAATTATACAGCAGTTACAGATTTTTAAGAAATGACTTGAAATAATTATGATTTAATTTGAAGTTTGAAAAGGGGAAGTCCGCCAGGCACAGTAGCTCATACCTGTAATCCCAGCACTTTGGGAGGCCAAAGCCGGTAGATTACAAGGTCAGGAGTACAAGACCAGCCTGGCCAATAATGATGAAACCCCATCTCTACTAAAATACAAAAATTAGCTGGGCATGGTGGCACGTGCCTGTAGACCCAGCTACTTGGGAGGCTGAGGCAGGAGAATCACTTGAACCCGGGAAGCGGAAGTTGCAGTGAGCTGAGATGACGCCATTGCACTCTCGTCTGGATGACAGGGCAAGGCTTCATCTCACAACAACAAAAAAGGAGGAAGTCATACTAGATCTAAGCAATTATTAAATAACTAAGAAGAATGCCTCAATAATAAATGCTGCATCTTATCTACTGAATGAAATTAAAACTAAAGGAAAAAGCAATCTGACAAAATGTGAGAAACGTGAATTATAAACAGATGTCAACTTTTATATGACCAATTTGAGTACAGTACAAACATACAGATGGTGCCCAAGAAAAGGCTAATGTCTTAATGTACTTCTGAATGTAGGATCAATGAAGAAATTAAGAAGAAAGTTGAAAAATTTCTTGAAACACATGATAATGGAAACACAACATACAAAAACCCTTAAGATACAGCAAAAGCCGTATTAAGAGGCAATATTATAGCTATAAGTGCCTACATTAAAAAACAGGAGGTCGGGCACGGTGGCTCACACCTGTAATCCTAGCACTGTGGGAGGCCGAGGTGGGTGGATCACCTGAGGTCAGAAGTTCAATACCAGACTGGCCAACATGGTAAAACCCCATTAAAAAAAAAAAAAAAAAAAACCCACAGGAAAAACTTGAAATAAAAAATCTAATAAGGCCAGGCACCATGGCTCATACCTGTAATCCTAGCACTTTGGGAGGCCAAGGTGGGTGGATTACCTGAGGTCAAGAGTTCAAGAACAACAGCCTGGCCAACATGGTGAAACCTCATCTCTACTAAAATACAAAAATTAGCTGGTGTGGTGGCAAGTGGCTGTAATCCCAGCTACTCAGAAGGCTGAGTCAGGAGAATCACTTGAACTTGGGAGGCAGAGGTTGCAGTGAACCAAGATGGCACCACTGAACTCCTGCATGAGTGACAGAGCAAGACTCCATCTCAGAAAAAAAAAAAAAAAAAAATCTGCCGGGCGCGGTGGCTCAAGTCTGTAATCCCAGCACTTTGGGAGGCCGAGACAGGTGGATCACGAGGTCAAGAGATCGAGACCATCCTGGTCAACATGATGAAATCCCCGTCTCTACTAAAAATACAAAAATTAGCTGGGCATGGTGGTGCACGCCTGTAGTCCCAGCTACTCGGGAGGCTGAGGCAGGAGAATTGCTTGAACCCAGGAGACGGAGGTTGCGGTGAGCCGAGATCACGCTATTGCACTCCAGCCTAGATAACAAGAGTGAAACTCCGTCGCAAAAAAAAAAAAAAATTTAATGACACATCTTAAAAAGAAAACCAAGAGCAAACCAAACCCAAAATTAGTAAAAGAAACAATAAAGATCAGAGCAGAAATAAATGAAATCGAAATGAAGAAAACAATACAAAAGATCAATGAAACAAATAGCTGCATTTTTTTTAAAGTTCAACAAAACTGAAAAACATTTATCCAGACTAAGAAAAAAAGGAGAGAAGATCCAAATAAGTAAAATCAGAAATGAAAATGAGACATTACAACTGATACTGCAGAAATTCAATGGATCATTAGTGGCTACTATGAGTAACTATATGCCAATAAATTTAAAAATCTAGAAGAAATAGATAAATTCCCAGACACATACAGCCTACCAAGATTGAACCAGGAAGAGACCCAAAACCTGAACAGATCAATAATGAGTAATGATATCAAAGCCAAAATAAAAAAGTCTCCCAGAAAAAAGAAAAAAAAGCCGGGGACCTGATAGCATCACTGCTGAATTCTATCAAACATTTATAAAAGAACTAACATCAATCTTACTCAAACTATTTGGAAAAATAGAAGGGGAAGGAATACTTCCAAACCCATTCTACAAGGCCAGTATTACCCTGACTCCAAAACCAGACAAAGACATGGCAAAAAATAAAACTATAAGCCAATATCTCTGATAAATATTGATGCAAAAATGATCCATAAAATACTAGCAAATCAAATTCAACAGTACATTAGAAAGATCATTTCATCATGGCCAAGCAAGATTTACCCCTGTGATACACAGATAATTTTGACATACACAGATCAATCAATGTGATACATATCAATAAAGGACAGAAACCATATGATCATTTGAACTGATAATGAAAAAAACACCTGACAAAATTCAACATTCTTTCTTAATAAAAACCCTCAACAACCGTGTATAGAAGGAACATACCTCAACATAATAAAAGTCACATGTGACAGACCCACAGCTAGTATACTACTGAATATGAAAGCCCTGCCTTTAAGATCTGGAACACAAGGATGCCCACTTTCACCTCTGTTATTCAACACAGTACTGGAAGACCCAGCTAGAGCAATCAGACAAGAAAAGGAAACAAACAGCATCCAAATTGGAATGGAAGAAGTCAAATTATCCTTGTTTACATATGACTTTAATCTTCTATTTGGAAAATTGTAAGCTAAAAACCTAACCAATAGGAACATAATATATGATCTGTGGACAGCCAGAAGTTATTTGTGAAATAAAATCCAATTCAAACACATTATTATATTAATAAGCCTACTATCATTTTACTCTAAGAGAATCACCTGCCATCAGGTCAGGCCAGGCATGGTGGCTCATGCCTGTAATCCTGCACTTTGGGAGACCAAAGTGGGCAGATCACTTGAGGCCAGGAGTTCAAGGCCAGCCTGGCCAACAGTGAAACCTCATCTCTACTAAAAAGACAAAAAAATTAGCCACGTGTGGTGGCACATGCCTGTAGTAATCCCAGCTAACTCGGGAGGCTGAGGTGGGAAGATGACTTGAGCCCAGGAGGTCTCCCCCTGCACTCCAGCCTGGGTGATAGAACCAGACCCTGCCTCAAGATAAAAAGATAGAGAGAGAGAGAGAGAGAGAGAAAGAGAGAGAGAGAGATGATTTCTATTTTAGTATGAATTAATAGGTCATTTTAAAAATGGTATTCTAAGAAATTTCTCTAGCAGTACATTTCACATATTAACTAACATGATAATATCACTATAGAAATTTTATTGGAATTACCCTTGAATAAGATAGTGCATGAACATCTGGCATCATAAAATGAACATTACACTTGAATTGAAAATTAGGCATTCTGATAGGCTGGGCGCGGTGGCTCAAGCCTGTAATACCAGCACTTTGGGAGGCCGAGGCGGGTGGATCACGAGGTCAAGAAATCGAGACCATCCTGGTCAACATGGTGAAACCCCGTCTCTACTTAAAAGTACAAAACATTAGCTGGGCATGGTGGTGCATGCCTGTAATCCCTGCTACTCAGGAGGCTGAGGCAGGAGAATTGCCTGAACCCAGGAGGCGGAGGTTGCGGTGAGCTGAGATCACGCCATTGCACTCCAGCCTGGGTAACAAGAGCGAAACTCCGTCTCAAAAAAAAAAAAAAAAAAAAAAGAAAGAAAGAAAATTAGGCATTCTGTATACCATACAAGGTAGACTAATATCTGCTAGGGCATCAGAAAAAAGCTTTATGTTTCATGTGTTTTCTGACTGATAATTATTTTAAAAGATTAATAACTCAGCAGCAATTGTATCAGAACTGAAAGCAGAAGTCATAATAACTCACCTTTATGCATAGGAGTTGATCCGTTATCAGCACGTTCATTAACATTGATTACTCCATCTTCTACTAATTTCTTAAGCATTCCCAAATCACCCTTAAAGGCAGCCACATGACCTGGAAATGCTAAAGCTATAAATAAAAAATTCAGCATTTCAGCAAACACAAGAATTTATTCTTTTCCCTGTCTTAAGCTGTCATATATTTCAGGTTCCAATATTTTACCCAATATAAGGCTGTTGTAATAGAACAAGTTCAGTTGCTAATAAGCAGTATAAAGAGAATTATAAGAAAAGATTATTACTAATCATTCTACTCCTCCTCCCCTCAGGACTTCAAACATGCCAGAAGTATTGTACTAGGACTATTTTTAGCCATATTCGCTTTCTCTCTCCCACCACTGCAAAACACAGAGGATGGTCATTTAAAACCCTTTGCATAAAGACACACTTGGAGGCCAGGCATGGTAGCTCATACCTGTAATCCCAGCACTTTGGAAGGCTGAGGCGGGTGGATCACTTGAGGTCAGGAGTTGAAGATCAGCCTGGCCAACATGGTGAAACCCCATCTCTACTAAAAAATACAAAAATTATCCAGGTGTTTTGGCTCACACCTGTCATCACAGCTAGTCAGGAGGCTGAGGCAAGAGAATTACTTGAACCTGGAAGGTGGAGGTTGCAGTTAGCCGAGATCATGCCACTGCACTCCAGCCTGGGCAAGAGTGAGATTCCATCTCAAAAATGAATAACTAAATAAAGACAGAGTTAGTCTCACGGCCTGTAGTTGCACAGACCACTGCTTCCCTGCTTGCAAGACAGCAAAGACAACAAAACAGACTAGAAGCAGATAAGAAGTGTATATGTGCACACACAAGTCATCCCTTTGAATCCTCAGGGTTCCACGACCCCCAAAGATACCAAAATCTATGGATATCCAAGTCCCTTACATAAAAGGGTATAATACTTGCATATAACCTATGCACATCCTCCCTTCCATATACTTTAAATAATCTCTAGGTTACTCGTAATACCTAAGGCAATAGAAATGCTATGTAAATAGTTGTCATACTGTTTTGCTTTTGTTTGTTTTGTTTCAGAGACAGGGTCTCACTCTGTCACCCAGGTGTGGTCACAGCTCACTATAAACTTGAATTCCTGGGTTCAAGCAATCTTCCCGCCTCAGCCTCCCAGGTAGCTAGAGTTACAGGGATGCACCATGATGCCTAACTAATGTATATATAGACATATACATATATATACATTATACATATATATATGAGTTGGGGGTCTCACTATGTCTCAAACTCCTGGCCTCAAGCGATCCTCCTGCCCCAGCCTCCTAGCAAAGCACTGGGATTATAGGCATGGACCACTGCATCCAGCTTGTATCGTTACTTATGTGCATTAATTTAATTGCTGTATTGTTATTTTTATTGGTTTCTCCTTCAAATATTTTCCATCTGTTGAATCTGCAGATGTGGAACTTGCAGATATGGAGGACCAGCTGTACATATATACACATACATGCATACACAAACACATATACACACACACACAACACTGATGGTACCTAACTCGATCCCTAGCATATAGTTGATGCTTAATAAAATGTCTTTAATGCTAATAACTACATAAATTCAGTCTTTTCCAAAAATGCCAGACACAGTAGTAAGCACTTGTAAGAAATGCATCATTTTGCCTTTTTTTTTTTTTTAAGTAAGATCTTCTTGGATACTTGGATACCAAAGGATTGCATAATTTAACCGTCTTAACAAATCTAAAATGTAGCTATTCTCATTTTTACATATGGAAAGAAACAACCTAGAATAGCCAAAGAATATTTTTAAAAAAACAAAGTTGAAAGGACTTACACTAATTGATTTAAAACTTATTATAAAGCTACAGTAATCAAGGCAGTCTAATAATGGCAAACAGACATACAGATCAGTAAGACAGAATACAACAAAGACCAGCAAGAGTAGAAATATATATATATATATATATATATATATATATATATATATATATAAAATATATAAACATACATACACACACACACACACACACACACACACACACACACACACACACATATATATATATATATATATATATATTTTTTTTCTTTTGAGATGGAGTCTCACTCTGTCACCCAAGCTGGTATGCAGCACGATTTCCGCTCACTGCAACCTCCACCTTCAAGGTTCAAGCAATTCTCCTGCCTCGGCCTCCTGAATAGCTGGGATTACAGGCACACCTCACCACACCTGGCTAATTTTTGTATTTTTAGTAGAGACTGGGTTTCACCATGTTGGTTAGGCTGGTCTCAAACTCCTGACATTGTGATCCCCCCACCTCGGCCTCTCAAAGTGCTGAGATTACAGGAGTGAGCCACCACACCCAGCCATAGATCCATATATCTAAGGCAACTGGATTTTGACAAAGGTGCCAAGACATTTCAATCAGTTAAGGGGAATCTTTCCCAAAAATGGTGCTGGAACAACTGGCTATACGTAAAATAAAATAAACATCAAATTTAAATCAACACCTTATTTCATTCCATATACAAAACTTAACTTGATATAGATCAATGATTTAAATGTAAAAACTAGAACTACTAAACTTCCAGAAGAAATCATAGGAGAATATCTTGCTGATCTTGGGATAGGCAAATAATTCACAGATAGAACTAAAGATACTAATCATTTAAAAAAAACCCGTAAACTGTACTTTATCAAAATTCAAAATTTTTGCTCTTTGTAAGACATTGTTAAGAAAAGAAAAAGGCAGGCAGCCCTGGTGGCTCACACTTGCAATTCCAATGCTTTGAGAAGCCAACACGGGAAGATTGCTTGAGTCCAGGAGTTCGAGTTCAGCCTCGGCAACATAGTGAGACCCTGTCTCTACCAAAAAAAAAAACTTTAAAATATTAGCCAGGTGTCATGTGGTATGCCTGTAGACCTAGCTACTTGGGAGGCTTAGGCAGGAGGATCACTTGAGCAGGAGTTCTAGGTTACAGTGAGCTATGATTGTGCCACTGCACTCCAGACTGTACAACAGAGCAAGAATCTGTTTCTACGCTTAAACCCAGGAAACGGAGATTGTAGTGAGCCAAGATCACGTCATTGCACTCCAGCCTGGGAGATAAGTATGAAACTCTGTCTCAAAAAAAAAGAAGAAAGAATCTGTCTCTAAAAAACAAAACAAAAAAGACAACTCTCTGAGTAAGAGAAGATATTAACAATACATATAGATACTTGACAAAGAGCTTGTATCCAGAACATATAAGGAACTGTCAAAACTCATTAAGTAGAGAAACAATCCAATTTTTAAATGGGCAACAAAATAGACACTTCATAAAAGAAGATATATGAATGGCCATTAAGCATATGAAAAGACGTTCAACATCATTAACTATCAAAGAAATGAAAATTAAAACCATGAGATTAACACTACATATCCATTAGAATGGCTAAAACAGACTGATCACAAAGAAATGGAGCAAATGGAATTTTCATGTATTTCTAGTGAGAGATGTAAAACGATTCAACTACTTGGAAAAAGAGTTTGACATCTTCTTAAAGTTAAACATACACCTCTACTTTTAAGTTCCACTCCTAGCTCTTTACCAAGATAAATGCAAATATATATCTGCATATATGTTCATAGCAGCTTTATTAGTACTAGCCCCAAACTGGAAACAATCCAAATGCTCACAACAGGTAAATGGATAAACAAAATATGGCATATCCACACAACAAAATACTACTCTGCCATAAAAAGGAATGAAGTACTAATACAGACAACATGGGTGAATCTCAAAATCACACCTTTTACATATAAAATTCTATAAAATGCAAACTAATCTGTGTTGACAAGAAGAAGAGCAGTGGTTAGAGCTACAGTAAAAGGAGGGATGAACTGCAAAGTGGTATAAAAAAATCTTTGGGGAAATGAAAATGTTTTGTATCTTGATTGTTGTCTTGGATTCCTAAGTGCACAGATATGTCAAAATGCATCAAATTGCATACTTAAAATTTATGCAGTTTATTATAAGTAAATTATACTTTAATAAATATGATTTTTTAAGGATACCATAACCAAAGTTGAAAATAACAAGCCCCATGTGAGAGGAAATATCTGTATCAGATGAAGTCAATAAATTATTGGTATCAAGAATCTATAGAGAACTCAGACAAATTATTTAGGAAAGGATAAAGAACACAATTTTTAAGGGGGGAGAAAACATAGGCAATAAGTAGGAAACTAGAATAGTCAATAAACTTATGAAAAGGTGTTCAACCTCAACAGTAATCAAGAACATGCAAATCAAACCACAAATTACATCTTTTCATATCCAACCAACTGGTAAAAGTTTTAGAGTCTAACAATACTTGAACACTGTGTTTCTCTAAGTTCTCACCCAACACTGCTAATGAGACTGTAAACTCCCACAACCACTTTGATGAAGTATGTAGTAATATCTTTTATACTGAGGGTGGGTAAAACCTAGAGTTTTCAAACTATTTACAAAGCATTTAGAAATTAAGCTGATTATCTAGTAAGTTACTATGAAAAAGAAAATAAAATAATAAATGAAAATTAAATACAATTTTTTTAAAAAAGAAATAAAGCTGAGTTCTTAAACTCTTGAGTCTTCAGAGAAAATAAGCAAGACCTTGAGAAGCCTCATCCAATGTTGACAGTGTGCCATACAATACTACCATTTTCTATGTAGGCTATGTGTGAAAAAGGTAGGGAAGCACTTCTCTAAAGAAACCTTTTTTTTTTCTTTCTTTTTTTTTTTTTTTTGAGACAGGCTAGGCTGGTGTGCAGTGGTACAATCATAGTTCACTAGAGCCTCTAACTCCTGGGCTCAAGCAATCCTCCCACCTCAGCATCCCAAGTAGCTGGGACCACAGGTGTGTGTCTTCATGCCTCGCTTATTATTTTTATTTTTTTTGTAGAGACAGAGTCTCCCTTCTCCCTATGTTGACTAGGGTGGTCTCGAATTTCTGGGCTCAAGCAATCCTTCCACCTCAGCCTCCCAAAGTGCTGGGATTATAGGCATGAGCCACCATGCCTCAGTTCTAAAGAAATTCTTGTACATGTACTTAAGGAAATATGTACAAGAATAGCAATTACCATACTGATCATAATAGTGAAAAATTATAAGGAACGTAAATGTCAAATGGGGAATAGATAATGATTTTCATAGAATGGAATCTAATAAATATATAAAATAATAAACTGGGATACCATTATTAATTAACTTAATCATTTCAAGAACATATTATTTTGTGAAAAAAGCAAGTTAAAGAAGGATATTGTTTCCTATGATCTGTGTTAACAAAATAAAAAGAAAAAAAAGCATATTTTTTATGCCATTTTTATAAAGTTTCAAAAGGAGTGTCAAAGACTGCTAATTGTCCACCAACACTCCCTTCCTTCAACAGTAATAGAGCTGCAGCTGGGAGAAGGATTCCCAGCTAGGTAATGAATTATGCACCTTCCTTGCAGCCTGTTTATGGCCATGAGTAAACTCTTGTCAACTCAATGTCAGCAACCCTGGTAAGTGTAACCTCCATCTTGGAAATATCTGCCCAGCCTCCTGAGTAGCTGGGATAACAGGCATGCGCCACCATGCCTGGCTAATTTTGTATTTTTAGTAGAAATTGGGTTTCTCCATGTTGGTCAGGCTGGTCTCGAACTCCCAACCTCAGGTGATACGCCCACCTCAGCCTCCCAGATTACTAGGATTACAGGCGTGAGCCACTCTGTCACCCAGGCTGGAGTACAGAGGTACAATCATGGCTCACTGTAGCCTTGACTTCCTGAGCTCAATCCATCCTCCCACCTCAACCTCCCAAGTAGCTGGAATTATAGGCATGCCTCCACATCCAGCTAATTTTTGTATTTTTTGTAGAGATAGGGTTTTACTCTATTGCCCAGGTTGGTCTCAAACTTTTGAGCTCAAGCAATCCACTCACCTCAGACTCCCAAGGTGCTAGGATTACAGGCATGAGTCACTGTATCCGACCTCTACACATTTTTGTCTAAAGTATTTCATAATAAAGAATCTGCAGCACTTTGGGAGGCCGAGGCGGGTGGATCACGAGGTCAAGAGATCGAGACCATCCTGGTCAACATGGTGAAACCCCGTCACTACTAAAAATACAAAAAATTAGCTGGGCATGGTGATGCGTGCCTGTAATCCCAGCTACTTGGGAGGCTGAGGCAGGAGAATTGCCTGAACTCAGGAGGCGGAGGTTACGGTGAGCCGAGATTGTGCCATTGCACTCGAGCCTGGGTAACAAGAGTGAAACTCCGTCTCAAAAAAAAAAAAAAAAAAAGAATCTGGATGAATGTATAAGCAATGATATGTAATGAATTTTAATGTTATATATTAAACATGTTTATATTTTTACATATAAAATATATAACATTTGCCTTACATCTTCTTTTCCTATTTCATTGATTTGACTTACTATATTATCATCATCATCATCACATTATATGCTAGAACATATCAACTTGATTACTTACTTTCCTGATCTTCCAAAGTGTTTCCTTCATACTCAGCCCCCTGGATAAACTGTATGATGTTGTGCTTGAAGAACCTCTGGGCCAAATCCAGTACATTTTCTCCATTATCATTGAAGGCTTTTAAAACTTGTGTCGCACTGCTCATCCTACTCAATAGGAATTTGAAACAGTGAAGGTGGCCTTCCATGGCTGCTAAGTGAACTAGAGGTAAGAAAAAAATTTTTAATTTAATTTTTAAAAAATTTTTATGTATGTATTTATTTATTTAGAGATAAGATTGCTCTGTCACCCAGGCTGGAGTGCAGTGGCACAATCATAGCTCATTATACCCTCCAACTCCTGGACTCAAGAGAATCCCCCTACTTCATCCTCCCAAGTAGCAGGGATTATAGGCAGGAGCCACCATGCCTGTCAGAATTTAATTTTTAAATTGAAACTAAAATAACTTGAAAAAAGAAATAACACATTAGCTCTATTCCTCATAGGGAGATGACTATCCCTTTCCCAAATGACAGGAACACAGAGAAGAGATCTTTTACCCAGCCTGCATTTCTTTACACAGTCAGCCTTCTAGTCACTTCAAAGCAGTGAGTAAACAGTTGGAATAGTTATACTTATCATGAGTCTAGAGAGACCAGATGAGGGTCACCGAAAAGCAGCCCCAGAAAGTTATCTTAGAAAGTGAAATCCCAATTATGCAGTTTATAATTACATAATAAAATGCTTATTATGTAAGTAAAATTTAATATTCTAGAAAAAAGTGGAAGAAATAAACCAGGTGTTCCCAAACTTTTTACACAGGGGGCCAGTTCACTGTCCCTCAGACCACTGGAGGGCCACCACATACTATGCTCCTCTCACTGACCACCAATGAAAGAGATGCCCCTTCCTGAAGTGCGGCGGCGGGGCGGATACATGGCCTCGGGGCCGCATGCAGCCCGCGGGCCATAGTTTGGGGACGCCTGAAATAAACCAATAGTCATTATGCAAATAAGCATATCATAATACTTTTATCACTATGCATTTGTCACTTTTCTATAATTTATTCTTTTTATCATAAACAAGAAGAATGGATTGAAATGCAGACTAGGTATACATACTGACTTCACCATTTACAGCCTAAATCTCAGAAAATAATAGAAAAGATATTTTTTAAAGTTATAAAAAACTAAAGAAACAAACAGGAATGCCATGAACAGAAAAGATATTTTAAAGAATCGCTGAAAGAAAGCATATTGGATCAGACTCAGGGACAGCCATAACCTAAAATTTTATGGAAAAGAAAAACAAAAAAAGGAATGAATCTGGAGTAGCTACAAGCATAGAGGCAACAATTACAAAGATCAAGACAGGCTTTATACCTCTTAAGAAGTGACCACTCACTTGGGAAATAAGCCCAATTCACATATCTTGTCTATGGAGAAGCACGGTAATGCCCAAGTGGCCAGTACAATTCAGGTGAAACAAGAAGTCCCAGATAAGAAGTCCAGAAGGTAAGTTGCTGGCACATATCAATCTATTCTCCCTCAGCTGCCCCTCACACTAAACACTGCCACACTAAAACTTCAGATTCCTCTAACTGCTTAGTCATCATTTACACTTACAAGGCTTATAGGCATTTCTAACATATGTCAAAAGTTGAGGTCCTTAGCCTCCTCACACACATTTTCCTTATATAGTCTCCCCATCTCAGTTAAGGGAAGTTCTCTCCACGTTGTTCAGGCCCATAAGCCTCAGAGCCATCTTTGACTCCCCTTTCCATTACTCCCCGCACCTAAACCATCAACGAATTTTATTGGTTCCTTCAAAACATACACAGAATCTGATTACTTCTCACTACCTTTGCTGCCTCTATACTGGCCAACCCAAATAGTAGCCTGATTTATTGCATCAGGCTTCCAACTGCTCTCCCAATTTCTTGTCCATGCCACTGCCACACTCTCAACTGCAGTCTGGTATAAACATAACAGTCAAATGATCCCTTTATTTTTGTTTGTCTTGAGACAGGATCTTGCTCTGCTCCACAGGCTGGCATGCAGTGGTGCAATCTCAGCTCACTGAAACCTTCACCTCCCAGGTTCAAAGCAATTCTGATGCATCAGCCTCCAAGTAGCTGGGATTACAGGCATGTGCCACCACGCCCAGCAATTTTTTCTATTTTTAGTAGAGACGGAGTTTCACCATGTTGGCCAGGCTAGTATCAAACCCCTGGCCTCAAGTAATGCACCCACCTTGGCCTCCCAAAGTGCTGGGACTACAAGCATCAGTCATTGCACCCAGCCCAAAATGATCCCTTTAAACACAGTCAGATCATGTCACTCCTGTGATCAAAACCCTCCAATAAAGTTGGGCATGGTGGCACATGCCTATAGTCCTAGGTATTCAGGAGGCTGAGGCAGAAGGCTTGCTTAAGCCCTGGAGTTCAAGTCCAGACTGGGCAACACAATGAGAAAGACAGGAAAGAAGGAAAGAAAAAACAAACAAACCCTCTAATGGCTCCTCTTACTTCTCCAACTTTATCATCTAATATTCACCTCCTCACTTCTGTTGGAACTACACTGACTTCTACTACTCAAACACACCATGCACATCCCTGCCTCAGGAGCTTTACACTTGCTGTTACCTCTACCTGAAATGTTCTTCCTCCAGGATATCCACAAAATCTGCTTCCTCAACTCCTTCAGGTGTTTACCCAAATGTCACTTCCTCAGTGAAGGCTTTCTTACCAACTTATTTTAAATTCCATCCCCTCTAATACTCTCTACTCTCCTTTTCTACTTTATATTTATCAACACATATCCTTATGTTATATATATTTTGCTCATTCATTTAGATGATTATCTGTCTCTCCCCTCACCACCACATATAGGCAGACATTGTCTTTTATTTGCTGTAATATCCCCAGCTCTCCGAAGAAGAACTGACACATAGTATGTGCTCAATAAATGTATGTCAAATTAATAAAAAATTTTTGAGAGGGTTTCTACTTCCAAAATGGCCTGTAAAAGCAAGCTAGTTTCACTCTCTAGTTTCACAGAAAACAAAAACAAATATACAATACTAAGATTATCACTAGCAATAGCGCAGAACTCAAATATGAGGATGAAAACAGTTTCTGGGGCCACAGTCAAGTGAAAAAACTGAGCAATCAGTATCCCGAACTTCCATATCCCAGACATGCCTCCCCCAATTGTGCCCAGCACCAAGCTCATAAAAATTTTCCCCAACTCACAGTTTCTACACTAGAAAAAGTGAAATCAAAGTAGACAAGAAGCTTCCAACTATTATCTTAGGCTCCCTGGCAGACCTGTCCCTGCCTCCAGCCTCAGGGAGTACTGGATGTGCCTGAAGACAAATCTATCCCTGAGGACAGCCAGAGACAAAGAGGAGAGGTAGGACTACCATCCTCAGTCCTGGAAACTCTGCTCTGTAACTAAGCGAAATGAGATACCAAATCAGTGGCATCACCATACTAAGGTTCTTTCCACAGTTCCCCTGGGCACAAACTGCTAGCAAGCCTTTCCACATTGCTGAGATATACCTTTTGAGACCTCTCCAATTTGGAATGGACTGCACTCCAAAGGTTTGTTTACTACAGCCAAGGCAAACCTGAGCCTAAGGTGCCATTTAGCGCCAAAAAGGAGGCAGAGACCTACCAGGAAAAAAAAATCAACAAGAAAATTACAAAGAATCTCTAAACAAACCTATCCCATAAAAACCAAAGCAAGTCAGACAGAGAAGACTGGAAAAACTAACTAATCCCTCAATGCAAAGACACAGATGTACATCCACTAGAAATAATAACAGCGAACGCAACCTATCCAAAAAGACAAACCAATAAACCACTGACTGACTCTAATAAGATGTCAATATGTGAGTTCTCAAAGAATTCAAAATAGCAGTTTTAAGGAAACTTAGTGATCTCCAAGAAAACATAGAAAAGCAATTCAGAAATTGATCACAAAAATGTAACAAAAAGATTTTAAATAATTTTTAAAATCAAACAAAGATCTTAAAATTGAGAAACATTTGCTGAACTAACAAATTCATTAGAGGGTCTCAACAACAGAATGGGTCAAGCAGAGGAAAGAATCAGTGAGCTCAAAAATAGGCTATTTGAAAATACCCAATTAGATGAGAAAAAAATGGAAAGAAATGAAAATCATCTACAAGAAATGGAAAATTATCTCAAAAAAAATCTAAAATTTACTGGTGTTCCCCAAGAGAAAATGAGGAAGAACAAGTGGTATAAAGGCTATCCAAATAAATAATGACAGAAAACTTGTCAAAACGTGAGATAAATATCCAGAAATATTAAGGTCTTAGAATACCAAAATATTCAACTCCAGTAAGACTACCCAAGGCATATAATAATCAAACTCTCAAAGGTCAAAGACAATGGGAGGATCCTAAAAGCAGCAACAATAAAGAAACAAATAACATCTAAAGGAGCTCCAATTTATCTGGCAACAAACTTCTCAAGAAAAACCACACAGGCCAGGCAGGAACAGAACATTTTCAAAATGCTAAAAGGACAAAAAAACAAAAACCTGCCATCTGAGAATCAGCAAAGTTCCTTCAACTATAAAGAAGACAGAAAGTCTTTCCCACACAAACAAAAACCGAGAGAATTTACAATCACCAGAACCATCTTACAAGAAATGCTAAAGGGAGTTCTTCAATCAGGAAGGAGAAACACTAATGTGAAAATAAGAAACATTTGAAGGTATAAAAATCACTGGTGAAATTAAGAACATGGACAACCCTAGGAGACCCCAATAATGTAACTGTGTTGTGTGATAACTAATATGAAGACTAAAAGACAAATCTAACAAAAATAATAGCTACAGCAACCTGTTAAGAGACAGGCAACAAAAAAAACGTAAATTCCTGGGGTGCAATGGCTCACGCCTGTAATCCCTACACTTTGGGTGACTGAGGCGGGTGGACCATTTGAGGTCAGGAATTAGAGACCAGCCTGGCCAACATGGGGAAACCCCATCTCTATGAAAATTACAAAAATTAGCTGGGCATGGTGGTGGGCACCACCATGTAATCCCAGCTACCTGAGAGGCCGAGGCAGGAGAATCTCTTGAACCCAGAAGGTGAAGGTTGCAGTGAGCCAAGATTGTACCACTGCACTCCAGCCTGGGTAACAGACTGAGACTCTGTCTCAAAACAACAAACAAACAAAAATCCAA